ATATATATATATATATATATAATTCTTTGCACAGAGAGAGAGAAGCGATTGTTGCATACGCGCTTAGGATGGAATTAAGGCTTGTAATGTAAATGACCGTCTTTTTCGCTCAAAAATCACGTCTCCTTTTCTTTTTTACATATTTGTAAATTGTTGCGAAAATAGATCGGACCAGGGTCGTGCGGCGTATCCTCGTGTCTTTCATTCTCCGATTCACCGAGATCGACGACGAAGTACGATGACAAATATATCGACACACACACATACTTACATACACAATGGTCGCGCGCATTTGTGAAAAACGAGGCTGCGTAATCGTTATCTTGTTATACGCGATAGTTCTCGGGAGAAATTCAGCAACTCGCCTGCGTTTTCCCTCGTCTATCGTGGAAAGTTTCGGTTGCAGTCGATCAGCGATCGGCGAACAGCCGGAGAACTCTTGACGGAGCTCTTAAGTTAATAATCAACGCTATGAAGCGACGTCTCTCTCATTTGTCTGAGGAAACGAATATAACGTCGCATAGTGAGGCTTACATTGTAGAGTATACATTCTTGACTTATTATACGTTCATATTGTTTTAGTGAGTGAATTGTTGAAGAATAAAATTGCCAATTGCCACGACGAGATGAGAAGTCGCGTGTGTTCTTTCACGGAACTGGCAGCTCAAGCGAGTTGGTCGGTGCTGCGCGCGTGTGCGTGCGTGGTGTATGCATGTGTGTTTAACATTATTCACGAAGAGAGGCATGCGGAAATTGTTTATGCGACGATCACGAAACCATACTGAGAAAGAATACTTGAAAGTTTATTCGCGAGATATGAAGAGTTCACTCTTACGAAAATAAATTTTATTTCACAGAAATAAATTTTATTTCACAAAAATAAACTTTATATCCCACAGATAAATTTGCAAGTATTTTTTCTCGGTGCACGAGTAACGCGCAGATATAGGGTGATCACGCATTGTGAGCTGGCGTTTTCGTAACGCGTAAAGTATACACACATACATACGCGTGAGGAGATACGGAATGAGAAGCGAAAAGTAAACGGAGAGGAATCGAAATACGCGCAGAGCGCCTCTACACTTAATTCATTTCCCGTATATACACGTATACGGTTAATTAACGTCTTAACGAACGCGACTTTTATTATGATATTATTATGAGTATGTGACTATAGTATCCTTACCGTGATAATTTTATTCTAATGTAATAGAGATAGTATTACACACACTGAGAAACGGATGTGTCCTTTATGAGAACGGGGAACGAGATGACCTGTATAGATGCGGATTTCTAGAAGTAGTAATACGTACACGTTCCACGAGAGATCGTGTTCCCCCTTGTATTTCGTTGAACAACGTATGAGAGCTGGTCCGTATATCCCGAAAAAAAGTCTGTGGACAATACACCGTCTCCGGTGGGCGTAGTGCGAAGCGCAGTTTCGCTGCGGCGCCTCCCATGGATTCGTTTTCTTTCCACTCGCCTTGAACTGATCTATCCGAAACTGACAAACTTGTGTAAATAGTGATTAAATTGTTTTAATATCACTACTGTGAGAATTATATGTTTACGTATATATATGTATAGTATATAGTATATATGTGTATATATACATATATATACATACATATATATACAGACGATTGTGGAAGAGGAGAGTGGTCTACATAGGAAAAAAAAAGCGGACGTAATGTATAATGAGACTGAACGACATACATACACACCGGACCATGAAAAAAACCCGATTGTCTTAAAATTTGCATTTTACCGCACGCGGTGGTTATATTATACATATAATACGCGAGTTAATCGTGCGAAGAAAGTAGCGGGTCTCTCGATACACCGATTTTAAAATGTGAATGTGTACATCTCTCTCCCTTATAGTGAAACTTTACTATATATACGTAAGCTGTGATTACTATATATATATACATATATATATCCTAATTTTTAACTTATATACAATATCGATTATGCTTTATTTAACGATTAACTCATACAAAAAACCGTCTGACAAGGCGCTTTAATAGAGCAACTTAAAGCAAGAAAAAAGGGAAAAAAAAACATGAAAAAGACATTGAGATTTGCGTGGAAGCTTATTCTTGTAAATATGTGTTGTGTCTATTGCGCTTAGCGAGTAAGAAAAGAGAAAAAAAATTCTTAATGAATTCTTGCGTATTTTTTCTATCTTCGAAATTTCCGGTTTTTTTTTTATATCTTTCTTGTCTCTTTTTTCTTCCTCTTTTACGCACGTTCGACATTTTCCTCAGTTTGGATCATTTTTAATATTGTTTCAACGTTTAACATTTCTCTGTGCTTTTCCAACATTTCTAATAATAATGGCTTTTTCATTAACATAAAACTAGATGCTGCTATGAAATTTCTAATGAGTTTCTTCATTATGTTTATTTTTCTTAGAGTATTTTCCATTCGGGTTTTGTTTCTGAAAAAGAAATTTTAAACATGATAAGGATGTGTATGGTACAAGATGAGCCATTCTATTAGCAAGTTTACTCACCTTACAATATCGGGATATGTTTCCTGCAACTTTTTGTTTTGTATCTCCTCCTGTTCCTTTAGGAAATTTTTATAATCACTCAAGGCCTTCTGACACTCCACCTTTAAATCTAATTGTGCTTGAGATGCTGTTTCAATGGACTGTTGGACTGATATAATATTGTCATTGAGAGCAAATAACTTACTCATGTAAGCGCTGAGTTTTCTGGAGCAAGCATAATGTTAAAGTTTCACTACATTTTCCTGCATGATATTTTCTATAGTATCTAATATTCAGTTCAATTTCAGCTAACATCAGAAGAAATCTGTTGCTTACTTCTGGTCTTCCGCATTGCCCTCCTTATTATTGAAGATAGAAATTATGGTTGTACTATGAAGGCACAGCTTAATAGCTTTGGCGTTTATGAGTGTATCACTTATGACTTTTTGAAGTGTATCTCCAAGTTCTTCCTCAATCTCCCTCGATTCTTCAACACCCATACCCTCTGTAAAGTGGCAGGAGAGATTTTAAATCAACCCTTGAACTATGCATGTTGTCAAACATAAGTGACATACGTTTATATCTTGCTTTAAGCATTAATAACCTGGCATTCAAACGCATCAGCGATTCCTTTGCCGTCTGAATCTTCTTCTCAATGGGTTTGTAATCGTCCAGCGAAACTGCACCAATCGGAAACTCGTTCACTACGTTGTTTAAATTTTTGACACATTGCTCCAAATTGTCGAGTTCCATTATATGTGTGTATACAATTACAAATGTGTAAACTATTCATATATAAATGAATCACTATCTACATGTATAGATTAACTTTAAAACTCGGAATATACGAAACGATATGCTGTTCATAATTTTTCAAAAGATATATTACAAATTTTTACAAATTCTGTGTAAATATTAGAGCTCATATGACATCCTTCAGTCGCATCTGACAGTTACTATTGCTTATATTTTGAATCTGAGCAGGGGCTCGATTCTTCGCGAGTCTCTAGAAAAGTGGAGGGGATAATGTTGGTACCAAGGAAAATCTCTATACGATATAATTTATAGATCTGTTCTTTGTAATTACACTGCTGAACTAAAGGGCTACGTTCCAAAACTTTATTCGACGGTAGAGTAGCATTTAATTGAGCAATAAGAACAAAGATAACTAGGATTTCTTTATCATGATTGATCAATTAAATGTACTTTACCCACTGAGTAGAATTTTGGAACGCAGCCAGCAAAAGGTTAGAGTGAGAAAACGTATACTTGCTTTACTTCAATTTATTGCGCCAATTCATCAGTGCAGTTACAAAGAACAAATCTTCATAGGTTTGTCGCGTCGCATGCCCCAACGTGCTCCTACTCGTTCTAACGCACTCTGATTGGTCACGTCACCACGCGGACCAATCAGAGTGCGTTGGAGCGAGTAGGAGCACGTTGGAACATGCGACGCGAACAAACCTATAAAGTTATAGGGTGCTTTCCAATTGCTTAATACATCTTGACACACACGTACACAAAACCAGTTTATTAGTCACATATTATCTAAAATATCTTGTGAGATAATACGCAATAAACTGGTTTTGTGTACGGTGTGTCAAGTGTGTTAAGCAATTGGAAACTCTTATAGAAATATTATACTAAAAATCATTGATAATTATTTATTTTCAGTATTAAAAATACTGGATAATAAGTAATTATCAATGATTCTTAGTATGATATTTCTATAAGGGAAGTACCCATAATTTACATTTTAGTTCAGCAGTTACAAAGAACAGGACCCTTATTTTTGAAATAGTTGCGTAAGTTTTACTGCGCAGCTATTTTATGGTATGATTAAACCTGCACAGTAAAACTTATGTATACACAACTATTTCAAGAATAAGGGCCCAGATCTATAAATTATATCGTGTAAAGATTTTTCTTGGTACCAACATTATCCCCTCCACTTTTCGAGAAACTGTCGCCTAATCTTTAAGGCTCGTCTACAATGGGTGCTTTCCAGTTGCGTACACTGTGTTACACAGAACTAGTTTATTGGTTGCATATTATCTTACAAGATATTTTAGATAATATGTAACCAATAAACTGATTTTGTGTAAGTGTGTGTCAAGATGTGTTAAGCAATTGGAAAGCACTCAATGTCTGTAAGAATATGGATGTAAGGTTGTAACGTAAGCTGTTAGAGAATGAAAGTAATTTATTTCACGTCTTACAACCTTACAGCCATATTCTTACAGACATTGACTGCGTTCAGCAGAGAAAGCTGCTTTGCAACTGTTGTAAAATTCGTGAATTTAATTGGAGCATGCTTTTAATTTTGGTTGAATCCAAGAGCATGTACCAATCAGATACCAGCAGCCATTGTAGACCACGTTTCATTCGCATTCCGTTAAAAATCAAGCCCCAGGTGTGCACACTTCACGAATGAAAATTCCCACGCTAAAAAATCTCTATTTAATAACATATAAAATGGGATGATTTGATTGGTTTAACTCGTGACGCGACGGACGACGCGATACGTGACGCGCTAAGTGGGAACTCAGCTTAAGATTATAATTTGTATTGTATAAATCTTATTTTTATTTTTTAATCAAATATATCACAAATATATAAATATAATATTTAATTCAAACAAGTTGCGCGCGTTAATTTCCCACAGAACTCGGTAACCCGGTCGTTATTTGAAATAGCACATGGTAAGACATAAAATACTTGAATCGTAGATAGGCATACATATTTCTGAATCAGACTCAGATTTAGAACTTTATCATGAATACCTTGTGAATCTTGCTGAACGAGGATGTCAAAAATTTGTGATGGCGGCGGCGATGCTAAAGGTTAGTCGACATTAAATAAACAAATTACCATTGAAAAATATGATAAATCACATCGACTCAGTCGAAATAAGATCTCATCTATTACGATCTTTTCATAGTTTGATCGCAAAATACGCGATAACGGACAATTATTTGACGAAACACGTCAGTAATATTCAAATTTATCTGGCATCAAGCTCGAGAAAATAGACTTTGGTGTTGTGTGTGTGTTTACCGTCTAATAATTACTTTAACAATACAACAATTAATTAAATGGTAGTGTGTTGTGATATATTTGTATTTTCAGTCTTTCTTTGTTTAGAGAATTATTTTATAACACTGAAAATATGTTGCCAATTTATATCTTTTGCTTAGTCTTCTTTTTATTTATACACTTAATAAAGCATGATATATTAATATTCAGGATAAATCATCATTCACATTCGAGGATAAGTGGCCATGTATGCGACCTATCATATTGAAACTACTTAAGCAAGAACCGGTAACTCAAGCTGAATGGCAGGATTTATTTTACTCAGTTCAAGTATGTCTCTGGGACGACAAAGGGCCTCCCAAATTACGGGATGCCCTGAGAGAAGATATAATGGATTTTATAAGACAGGCTCAACAGGTAGGGAAAATTGTTTTATACAGAGAAATTAAAAGTTACACTTATAGCGTATCTGCTATATTTGTCTTGTTAGAATAGTGACTTTTTAGAATCACAGTTTTGTGCAGAGAGTTTTAGCCCATCAAGAAGACCAAGCATTATTGAAAGCATACATAGCAGAGTGGAGGAAATTTTTTACACAATGTAACTATTTACCAACGCCATTTAGGCAATTAGAAACTTATCTTGCTGGAAAAACTAGCACAAGTGTAGCTCAAAAAAGGACCCAACCTGATGACATCGTTAGGAAAGTAAGAGGCAATCTATATATGCATATGCAATAATTGATTAAATTTTAGTGCTGTTACTTCACTTTTTTATTGCTCACTGCTTTAAGCAGTTATATATGTACATCTATTTCCTCACACTATTATATGTGTACATATTATATTTACTTTAATATTTATTTAAAACATACTTTTTTGTATATGGACATACTATTGTATGCCCAATAAAGTTATTAACTGTTAATAATTATGTTAATTACATATTGTTGCATCCTTAAGGTCTGTTCTTTTTTGAAAAATTTTCTGAATTGATGCAACAAGTTAGAGTGAGATAAGTATGTATTGTTTCACTTTAACTTATTGCACCAGTGTGCATTAGTTTAGAAAGTTACTTGAAAAAAACACTTTTGGTTTGCAGTTGATGTTGGATAGTTGGAACCAAAGTATATTCAATGAGATAAAGCAAAGACTTCAAGATTCTGCCATGAAATTGGTACATGCTGAAAGAAATGGTGAAGCATTCGATTCACAACTGGTTATTGGAGTCAGAGAATCTTATGGTAATGAATAAAGTATACTATGTACTTATTTCAATTATAATATCAAAGTAACTTCTTGTAACACGTCCTAATTATTTCAGTAAACCTGTGTTCAAATGCAAACGACAAGCTGCAAATATACAGGGAAAATTTCGAGGCAGCATATATAGAAGCTAGTGAGAGGTTTTATTGGGTTAAATCCCCGGAATACTTGTCCGCGCACGGCGTGGAGAACTATATGCGTTACGCCGACTCCAAGTTGAGGGAAGAGGAACTGCGTGCTCAGAAGTACTTGGAGCCAAATAGCGCGAGTATACAACGATTGACGGACTGTTGTGTGAAAGTGTTAGTCGCTACTTTTAAGTCAGCCATCCTCGCGGAGTGTCCACAGATGATCCAACATCATCAAACTGACAGTAAGTAGCGCACTTCTTCGCGGCGCATTCATTTTGCGTTGAGACGCATAGTCATTCGTCGTCGAGTCATTATAGTGAATGAAATGTTTCCAGAACTCCGCCTCATGTTAAAATTAATGGACAGAGTTCCCGACGGCGTTGGTCCCATGTTGAAAAACTTGGAGGACCACATCGCAAGCGCGGGTCTGGCGGATATGATGGCAGCTGTAGACATCATTACACAAGACTCGGAGAAATATGTGGAAAGACTGTTAGATCTCTTCCGTAGATTTTCCACGCTCGTTAAAGAGGCGTTTGATGATGACCCGCGGTTTCTTACAGCACGAGATAAAGCTTATAAGCTAGTTGTTAATGACGCGACGGTATTTAAGTTAGAATTGCCTTGTCGACAGAGTTCTGGACTCAGTGGTTCGGTAATTTTAAATAATAAACCTCCCGTTAACAATACTGGACAGCCCGAGTCGAAGTGTCCGGAATTGCTCGCAAATTACTGTGATATGCTTCTTAGGAAAACACCTCTCAGTAAGAAACTTACTTCCGACGAGATCGAGAGTAGATTAAAGGACGTGGTCAGTATCTGCAAGTGAAACTTGTGCTGTCTCTCTCTCTTTCTCTTGGTGTCAATTTTACGTCGCATTCGTTTCAGCTGTTGGTGTTAAAGTACGTCCAAAATAAAGACGTGTTCATGCGTTACCACAAGGCGCACTTAACCAGACGGTTAATATTGGACACGTCCTCGGACTCGGAGAAGGAAGAGAACATGGTGGAATGGCTTCGAGAAGTCGGTATGCCTGCAGACTACGTAAACAAACTAGCCCGTATGTTTCAAGATATTAAAGTATCTCAAGATCTAAATCAGCAATTCAAAGAGCAATGTCGGGCCGCACTTGCAGACAGCATAAATATTAAGGTTATTTTAACGCATATATGCATGATTTCACTTTAAAATGGAGATTGAAGAAAGAGGAAAAATGCATGATGTTTGTACGGAGACATTTTTTAACTCAAATATGTAACATCGTGATGTTCCTTGCAGATACTCAATGCTGGAGCATGGGCTCGAGGTAGTGAACGTGTTACTGTAAGCTTACCGCTTCAATTGGAGGATTATATTCCCGAGGTTGAAGAGTTCTACAAAAAGAAGCATAGCGGACGGAAGTTGCTGTGGTATCATCATATGTCTAACGGCACGGTACGACATATGATGAACGAAACACTGTTATACCGATTTCAGAATTGTATTGTTGCGAATATAATACAATCTTATAATTTACTTATAATATTTCATATATATAACACTTATGATATATTTTGTATATTATTTAAAATATTTCGTAATTATAAAAGATATTTTCTAATTTTATCTTATTTGTATTAATCGTATTAATATGTAATTTTATCTAATTTATATTAATCGCGACTTCTCAGATAACATTCTCGAATCAAGTGGGACGCTTCGACGTGGACGTGACAACCTTTCAAATGGCGGTATTGTTTGCTTGGAATCAACGACCTCTTGAGAAAATTTCATACGAGAATCTCCGACTAGCTACTGAGCTTCCGGATCCTGAACTAAGGCGGACTCTGTGGTCTTTGTGTGCCTTCCCGAAGTTAAAAAGACAACTTCTCTTAGTTGAGCCGCATGCCCATACTCCGAAAGATTTCGGAAACGATACGAGATTTTGGGTCAATCAGGAATTCGCTATTGTGTTCGTGTCAAATTATTGAATCGTTAAGAAGTATCACGTGATATTTTACTCTCTCTTTCCTTCTCTTTCTTTCTTTTTCTCTTTCTCGTTTTCATTAATGAAATAAGATTTATCTTATTTCGTTAGTTCAATTTTTTCGAGTTTTATTCATATATACGGACAACAATATGCAGATCTGTTCCAAGAAAAGAAATATAAGCAACTTATAATATAATTATATAATATCGTTAAATGTAATATAATTAATAATTGTGATATTTTTATGTTAGAAAAAATGGCAAATTACAAAAGAGAGGCAAAATTAACTTGATAGGACGTCTTCAATTGTCAACGGAGCGTAGCAAAGAAGAAGACAATCAGTCCATTGTGCAACTCAGAATTCTACGAGTACAGGTACGTCGCACAGAAGTTACACGATGAAAAGCAGCATACACGACGTAGAAAAATATTGATAGATATTTATTTGATCTCAAGTCATAGGCTACAATAAATAATTTTGCGTGTGTCACCGTAGGAGGCTATCATCAAGATCTTAAAGATGCGCAAAACGATCGGCAATGCTCAGCTACAAACCGAACTAGTGGATATACTAAAAAACATGTTTCTACCGAGCAAGAAGATGATAAAGGAGCAGATTGAATGGCTCATCGAACACAAGTATATTAGCAGGCACGACGATGACATTAATACATTTGTGTATGTAGCGTAACACGGAATTATGACATATACACATAGAATTCAAACTATGTGGCTCATATTATATTTTTCTATATAAAAAAAGAAACAAACAGATTTAATTTTCTCGTGTACGAAGATATAATATGTTGGAGACCGCCGTATGCCACTAGATTTTCCGCTTGTTTTGCGCGTTGTAATATTCTGAAGTAAGAAGAAAGAGCAGTATACTTGGTCAAATTTCTTGAGATAAGAGATGTGGGTGTTAATAGGGCAAATGTCATATCGTGTACGATCTACAACCGACGATACATTATGAGTTTACTTATGAATAAAATATGATGCTATAGATAGCATTCAACTGGAGAAAGTATCGCAATAATGAGAAATCGTGAACAATTTACGATATTGTACTACAAGAGATAAAATTTGCATTCGTCATTTATCTCGGAGTTAATTTATACTAATCTAATTAAAAGAATCTAATTAAAAGAACGTTGTATTTAGAAGAGATCGGATTGAATTGACATTTTTTGGATGACACTCTAACGTTGTTTCAATTGTCTATATTTCACTAAAAATACTCTTGTAAGATTTATATGTGTATGCACACATAGATATCTTCGAGTTCATATCGTGTTAAATTTCTTTTTTTTTTTTAAAAAGGATATTTTTTACAGTCTCAACACAATTGACAAGAATTTGGCACTAAGAACGTCGATAGATCCTTGCATAAATCTGAACGACAGATTTGCACGTGTATATGTACATTGACTTAAAATTCAATCATAAACAATAAAAATTCGCATATACTTGAATAAATATATACATATTGTAGTGTTTTTTGCATACAAACTTACTCGTCGCTAATAGGTGTCGACTATCGCGAGAATTTGTTTCAGACTACCTGCGCCTTCGAGTCGTGTAAACACATTTCTTGATTTAGTCCTAGAGTTTCTAATGGTTTATAATCAAATTGCGGACGGCGTTCGCGCGAAGACGTTCGTAATTCATTTTTAAAGTACACATTAAAAGCCCGACGGATACATAATGTTGTTTGATGGCCTACAAAATATTTTAATGTGTAAGCATGTACCTCGCAAACATCAAACTTGATTTCCGAGCGGTGATAGAGAGAGATATCGTGTATGATTTCTACATCTGCATTAGTCACACTTGGATGGTTCGACTCGTCGGACTATGTCGAAAAGTAGTTACTTAAGCAAAAAAATGACGCGTGACGCGCGGTAATATGTATAAAGCTTTTATATCACTTGGAATAAGTGACAGATGAGTGTAATGGTATAAAATTTCAATGAATTAAATGACAGAATATTTCATAACTGTGTACCAACACGTCATTATCGAGAGTGTCGAAGGTTTTTCTATTTTTACCTGTTATATCATAGCACCTCTCACGAGAGTGGCAACGAGTAACACTTATGTTCAGACTATGTATCATAATTTTTAACGTAAAATAATTTGTATTTATATTTTCTTCATCGATACAAATCATTTGTACATCGCTTCCGTCGGTGTAATGTAATTATATTTGCTCGGGGTTTTCGGTAAAGAAGGATCGAAACTAAAAGATCGAGACGGTTTTTACGCGCCGTCCCGTTGACAGGAGAATATAAACAGTATCGCGCTCTATATAAAGCAAGGTGGGGTTACTATTTTTTATATATATATAAAGTATTTATAAATATTCAACAATTATTTTTAGGTCACAGATCTTGCGTTAACAAGAATTATACGTTTCATGAGAACATTATATACATATACACAATCACCACTGCCGCTGTGTAATCGGTAACGCTGATATGACCACATACGTACCATGATCTCTATCCTATCTTCACTAACTCAATTCTCAAAGAGAAAGAGAGTAGAGCGGATAACAATAAGTTTCTCGTAACTTCATTAACAAGAGACCATTTATAGGAATTAGCGTGTAATGTTCAAGCTAATGTGAACTAGCTTCCTACCGAAAACACAGAACAAGGAGAACGATAGTTTTTTAGAACAGTACATTCGTATACACACACATATCACATATTAATGTCATATATCTCTCTAGATTTCTTTTTCTCTTCTCGCATGCACGCAAAACTCAACTCGACATTCGACTTGACGTAGTCCTCAGAGCATTCCATAAGAGAGAAAGAATGATCCAAAAATAAATAGAGAGGAGGAAGCTGTTGAAACTCCGACCATATTTTTTTTCTTTTTTTTTTTGATTCTGTCGATTAATTATTCTCTATAACGTTAGTATCATCTCTGTGAATTCACAACAATACTGTTAAACTTTACGTGCCGTTTAGGAGTACAAATAACACACCGATAATGAGAGGTAGAACTGTAAAATCCTTCAGCGTATCGCTCAACGATATTCTCGTTTCCGACAACCGTCAGTTTCATCAGCTCAGCTGTAATCTCCCATGACATGTAGAATCATTAATGCCATTATTTAAGGAACAACATGGAGAAACAACGTAGGCCAAAAATCATGCAGGTGTTGACTCTGTCGAAGTCAACTGCTATCATGACAAACAAAAATATTACAAGGATACCTCGCGAATTCTCCATGAACGGACGTAACCGAGATTCTAGATCTTCATCGGTATGTAGCAACAAGTGATATTTATAGATCGCTGCTACCCGCGGCCGGTTTTGTAAATACTTGCACCGGATCGCGTCGTTGTCTGCGAGCCGTAATCTTTTCACAACGCATCGCTTTATGCTCACTCGGATACCAGCCCCAAGCAAACGGTTGTAAATTGTTCAACCTTTGTACGATATAGTAATCTAATTTAAAGTCGCTTACTGGATGGCCTTGGGAGCGGGGCATAAGAATGTATCGGCGCGTGGCGAATTGAGACGCGAGCGAAGGGAGTGAAATTAATGCTCCGGACAACGCGTGTGCTGGATGCGTGGCGCATTTTTCGCCGGATTCGCGTTCTCGCAAACGTGCACCACGATGCCTGGCTGTCCCGACCCCGGTGGATGTAATTCGTGACTTCCGCCTGCAACATTGAACCGTCACTTGTGTATATACGACTTCAGATACGACCGAATGATTCTTACTTGTATCGTCACGTCTCCTACGTACGATACAACCTGTACGAAGGGACGAGATGTAATAAGAAATAATAGTAACCTGCGGATAAATTGGCTATAGCGGCTAATAGATCTTGATTAACGAGCGGCTCTCCTTCCTCGCGTGGCTCCCAACCAACTGGCGGAGAAGCAGGAGGAGATATGAGGAACTGTTTAGTGAGCGCAGGTGGCTGAAGATGTTGATCTTCCATATCTAAAAAAGTTAATTGACGTTTCAGTAGATTGAATTTTTCTTTACAACATACTTGGCATTTTGTGTATGAATATGAGCCTTTAGTTCATGATATGCAAGTTCAGTTACGAACCTATAGGCGTCACCGGTTGTGCAAAATAACAATTAATATCAGTTTCCCCGAAATGTGTCTGATGCAGTTGTAATCTCGCGTTCGCCGCAGCACTAGGAGAATTGTAATTCACTCTCATCCTTCTGAAGGACCTGAAGTATTGAAACGTTGCATCTTCCCCGAATTGTTTGAAAAGATTTTCTATCGCTGGCTGTAAGAACATAACATTGTGATTTAACAAAAATTTCCTATTGTTCATTAAAATGTAACAAAATTTTCCCATTGTTTATTATTTTACACTATTCGTTTATTACCTTTAATTCATCACCCTTGAAAACTCGGGGATCCACATTAGTAACAATTACAGAAGTTGGTAGATCTTCGTCATGAACCAATTCATCAATCGATCTGATACTTGTGTCACCAATATGCCTTTCTCTATCAAACTCAAGCTCCAGTTGTTCAAAATTTGGATGTAAATTTGGTAGACCATCGACTTCGTTGATTATTATATTTTCAGTATCCTCTGGCTCCTCTTCCTCAACTACCCCAGTGCCACGCTTTTCCTCCATTTTCTTTCCTACTATGTTTGAATTACTATCAAAATAAAACTAAGAACAGGTAGAAAAACTATGAAACACAAAGTTGATATTTAAAATTTTTTAATATTGTACAGTACTGATATAATAAAAAAATTAGAGCAATTCTAATGCAACGAACATAATTGTATAAAATAAAGAAAAATGCATTATAGAAAATTCATATATTTACAAAAATTTGTAGACTATATAAAACCAAATTATTTATACATACTAACCTCATACAACTGATAAAAACAGGATAAACTTCATAAATGTACAAAATTATTTTTCCGAAATTTCAATAAATTGCCAATATAACTATTCACCGTATCGAAAATCCACAGATACACTTTGACATTTAAATACTAAACAATCGGTGAAAGCAACACGCGCGAGTACGAGTTCCTCTTAATGACAAGTGTCATCACGTCAAGTTCATTGTTATCAAGGCAAGGCAAATGAAATAATGCGTATATGCGATCTCGTCACGAATTTACCGTAGCACTCATATTAAACGATTCAATAAGTAACAACAATGCGAGATATCTCTCTCTTACCAGAGGCGATCTCTAACGGGAAAGAGACCAGACACTGATAGATGTTTATAAAACGCTGGCTAACGCGCTTAGTCACAGATATTTCGTTACGTGCGCAGCATCTATTCCATCATAACAAATTTAATCGTCTTGTTGCTCCGATATCAGCATTCTCGGAAGATTCACTGCCACCGCGATCCGTCGATGCGCGTTCGTTATTTCATCACTTTTGTTGTTATAAGGTAACCGCGCGTCATCGTAGACTTTATGACAACAGGAACAGCGGACGCGTTGGGTTCGCGCGTTGTATCAGTATCCCAGTCCGATCGAATGCCATAGCCGTGAAGCGGGTTAGGGTTAGGGTTACGTTAGGTGATGCTAACAGGACTGCAAACTGTTGAAAATGCTTCAACAGAGAAAGCTACTTTGCAACTGTTGTAAAATTCGTGAATCTGATTGGTGTATGCTCTTAGATTCAGCCGAGACTAAAAGCATACCCCAATCAGATTTCCGAATTTTACACAGTTGCAAAGTACCTTTCACTGCTGAACGTAATCAATTGTTGAGTTGTATCATGTGGTCCGAAGGTTGATTGTGTATTAATACAACGTGGTGAAAATTAAACTTAGTAGGTGTGTGTTGACCAATGAGTTAAATATTCCAGTAAATTCGTTCATTTTTGTAATTTTTCTAGTTTTGTTAATACACAACTGACTCCCTGTGCTGGGATTCTGTAACTCGTTATGCAGTTATGTGTTAATAACGACAATTGCGCAGGTATTACATGGCCCTTATTCTTGAGATAGTTGCATATACATAAGTTTTATTGCGTAGGTTTAATCGTACCATAAAATAGCTGCGCAGTAAAACTTACGTATACGCAACTATTTCAAGAATAAGGGCCTATATAGCACAGAAACTGCCAACTTCTGGCTTCACTTTTTGGGGAGAATGCTTAGTCTAAATATAGGGCGAGTTTTTTAATTCATCGATGGATCCATCAATGATGCGCAAATATAGCGTTTCACTGCATTTACGCATTATGCGATGGATCCATCAATGAATTAAAAAAACTCGCCCATATATGTGTTGTGCAATCGTTCTGTCCTGCTGAACGTAGCCAATGGCGAAGTTGCGCTTAAGGCTGTGTTCCAATATTGACTGTCAAAAATACATAATTTATGTCACGTATACTGTAGATTTTCAGTACTGGCAGTGAATTTCGGAACGCAGCCTAAGACCGTTACTTTCAAACCTAACCAACAAAATTGAGACTCCTAAAAGTTGAAATTTGGTTCTTCTCATTAGAAAACTAATCTGCATAATTTACTCTATTTCCCGTGACACCATGTAATATTACTTATTTAAACATAAATTGTAAATATTTACTTAATTTAAATATGAATATTTATGAAAATATAAATAAACATTGTTACACAGAAGAAACCTCTTATTCTTATTTTACTTTTGACGTGTAACGTGAGATACAGATAATCAAAAAATTTCAGTAGAGAGCTATATCTATACACATATATGTATGTACATGATCTTGTGGTTTTCACAGAAAAGTTGCAGTGTTATTTTTTTCAGCAAATACATTTATAAGACATCTAATAGTATAACTTTGCATATTTATCACGAATTGTTTATCTGAATAATATAATAAATAAATTCAGGAGGCAGCTTAAAATGTATGCAACTTAATAGATAACAGACATAGTATGTAAATGCCTTAATTTACAATACCAAAAAGAACAAATTTATTATACTCAAATTTCAATAGGATTCACAACAATCGCGTTTCTCTTTGCTTCCTTGCTGCTATCCTCTTCCTGCCGATGTATATCATCTTGCCCTTTGACTCTGATATTGTGCTTCTCTTTGTATTCGTTGATCTCAATTCCTTTCTTTGTCAATTGGTCGTTCAATGCATCTATCACTTTCATCAACTAAAAACATACATTTTCTCGTCATATGCAAAACAAAGATATATTTTTACTTCTAAAAAGGAGCAGATGATATTAATGTTAATAATATTGCAACAAAATATACCTGATCCTTGTTTGTCACCAGAGCAGGCATTACATCTTCTACTATGCGTTCGCACAGAACTCCACCAATCATTCTGTAACATTTCCTCTTGGGGTCCACATTTTTTAGCGTGTCAATAACAATTCTGAAATATCAATATCTGCGAATGATACCGACAACAAATTACGAGCTTTGGATTATTTTAAAAGTGAAATAAATTCCGCAAATAATAACAAAACATTATTCATATAATTCGTCTAACTCATCAAAAAATTCTTTTTGTTTATGGTAACTTGATTTTTTAGATAGGAGAAACAAGTTTGTAGGTTAGTAGGACTCACTTGTGCTCATTCAATTCCATCTCCATTTCGGACAGTTTGTTCGCCATCATTCTTTGTTCATTTCGAAGCGTCTGAAACTCCGACAGTATTTGCTCGTTGGATTTCGTATCTTTCGACGATGCTTTCGTCGATTTTTTCTCACTGGCCATATTTGGAATTTCAATTGCTACTACACAGTCTAGAACAGTATCGGACAGCGGCGATATGAAAAGTTCGGAAATGTGTGGTAAACACGGCCATAGACATAAAAAATCGTATAGTGACGCCAATGATGTACGAAACTCAGTCGCAGTTTCAACTTCCGGTCAATAGCATACTGTAACGTCCGGATCTATTTTAGAACATTAATAATATATTATTATAGACCGGGAGGCCGACTTATCTGATTTCAGACATCACTAGATATTTTATCCCTACGTTACTAGATGTAAGTACGTGCGCATATGCATATTCGCGAGCGTTAAAACATTATAATTAAAATGCCGAATGCTGCGTGCTGCTGGAGAGTCTCGAAATCAACGGATCTACCCAAAGAAACCGCTATCGCTCAGTGCGATAAGCCAACATAAACAGGAGCATGAAAACTGAATCCTAAACACCACTCAGGACACCGACGCGGTGACATCATGCAAAGGAATGAATCTCTTCCCTCGCCATAACTCCATGGACCAATCGGAGAACGACTCTCAGCGACAAAGCGACATATAAAAGCGCGCGCATTTGTAGAGAAGGAAAATAATTATTTTCTTCTCATAGTTAGTCTCTGGTAGCTTCGTGTACTTATTCAGCATATTATACTTAGTCGTAAAATCCGACTGTGTTGCAATTACTTTTGCCTACCCTTCATATTTCAAACATTGCGAAATCAAATTCTGAATCGCGGGCCGCATCAACCCGCGTGGTATCGGAACTTCCGAGGCCGAGCCAGGAGAACAAGCACCGCTGATTTTCCGCCAGATTCATCAATCGTTTCGCCAGGCTCCCGAGACCCAGGGTAAACTCGGTGAAAAGCAGAGTGACCCAAAAGCGGAGTCATCACTCTGTTGACCGTCCACGTAAGTCACTGATTTCACTACTTTCAAATTTCCCTATATAGTTATTTATCGTGGACGTAACAATACACGAGATTTTCAATACTTCCGCCATCGTTATCATTCGTATGTACTTGACCGAAAAAATCGCCGGTTGAAAAATTACTCTTTTAAATCGTTTGTATTTCGTATGAAGAGTTTTGAAGTGCAATTGAAAAGATTTATGAGTCGTTCTATTAATTGTAATTAATTTTTGGACCATGCATTTAGCCGAAATAATAGCCGAAGATAAATTAAACAAAGTTCCAGTATGGTATCGTTTATATTTCGTATGAAGAGTTATGAAATATCATTAAAAAGGTTTGTGAGTCATCCAGGTATTTTTTATGAAATAAAAAATCGTGTAATTGGCCGAAATATAAGGTGCTTTCCAGTTGCGTACACTGTGTTATACAAAACCAGTTTATTGGTGGCATATTATCTTACAAGATATTTTAGATAATATGTAACCAATAAACTGGTTTTGTGTAACACAGTGTAACGTAGCTGAAAAGCACCCATAAATTTCAAGCGCTGCTGTGGAAGTACCGTCAGGCACGATCGGTAATCTACTTTTTACTTTCTACTTTTGGATATATCACAAATATATGATACTTTTTCATAATTTAATTTAGTGCTTCTAATTGTTCTAAAATATAATAACTTATTGTTTTGTAGTATTATTGTTACATATTTTACGAAACTATGGATGCTTTACAATTGCTTAACAGATTTTGACACATACATACACAAAACCAGTTTATTGGTTACATATTATCTAAAATATCTTGTAAGATAATATACAACCAATAAACTAGTTTTATGTAAGGGTGCATTCCCAGTTAGCGCGTCACGCGTTGCGTCTCCGAGTTAAGCCAATCAAATCGTTCCATTTTATTGCGTAATGCCTTCTGCACACAGGACGCAGTAGGGAGCGTCCCGATTGACCACGATACGATTGGACACAACCAACCGATAAAAAGAATTATCTAGTGAATTACTAGGTCGAACCAATCATTACAATCTGTGTCCAATCGTATCGTGGTCAATCGGGTCCCACCCGACGCGGTAATGCTTGCCGCACGGCGGAAGTCCACGCGACAGCCAATCAATATGTTGTTTTTCCGTAGGAGCTAGAAGATTATTACGGAAAGCAGCATATTGATTGCTGCGCTGTCATGCGAACTTCCGCCGTACTGCAAGCATTACCGCGTCCTGTGTGCAGGAGCCATAATGTTTGTCGCGCGGCGGAAGTTCGCCGCTGGAGCCATTAGTCATAAAATTCTTTTGTTGAAAATGAGCAGAGCAAATAACGTCCAATACCATCTATTTTTTTTGTTACGACATATTTTTTATACAACAAGATGCTGGCATTTTTGGTTTTACGACAGTAATTTAATGGCCACGCTGCCTCACATTGTACGTTGTAAGTACTCATACAAGTGACACATTACACATCTAATGGCTCCTGCACACAGGACGCGGTAATGCTTGCCGCGCGGCAGAAGTTCGCGCGACAGCCAATCAATATGCTGCTTTCCGTAATAACCTTCTAGCTCTTACGGAAAAACAACATATTGATTGACTGTCGCACGGACTTCTGCCGCGCGGCAAGCATTACCGCCTCCTGTGTGCAGGAGCCATAACGTCACACACACACACAGGACCGCCGCCATTTTCTCGCATGCAACCGGAAACCTTACGCGACACACGTTCGAAGCTCTTGTTAGCAATCTAGTTTAATATAGACACCGACGAGATATTACTAAAGACTGTCAGCTCTGAGTAAATTTTCGACCCAGCCAAAGGACTCGGAGGGACCCGGAGGTAATTGAAGAACGATGACAATACCGACCGTTTTTCACACAAAGATGCTTCTGTCTGTCCGTGTGACTACCCTTACAAAAAAAAAAAAACGAAAAAACCTTCAATTTTTGGTGTTAACACTCGAATTTAGGTGTTTATCCTAAATGTTTGTACCCAAAATTGAGGATTTTTTCGTATTTTTTTCGTAAGAGTACACATCGACATATAGTACTGAACTGAGCATTGTGCCGAAATTGTATTGACAGACATAGAAAAAAAATCGTATTGACAGACGTAGAAAGAGACAAGACGATGTAAGTAGAATAACAGTAAGAATAGGATATAAGAAAAAGGTGAAAAATGTACAGTCAGATTTCTCAGGGTCGCTAAAGCCTGTAAGACCGATGGTTTTTTGTAGTACTTCGTCGGTGCTACAGATATCTGTGTTGACGGTGCTTCCACAGCAGCGCTTGAAATTTATATTTCGGCCAATTACACGATTTTTTAATATTTAATTAAAATTATCTGGATTACTCACAAATCTTTTTAATGATACTTCATAAATTTACCTCCGGCCATTATTTCGGCTAAATGTATGGTCCAAAAATGAACAATTAATTACAATTAATAAAACGACTCACAAATCTTTTCAATTGCACTTCAAAACTCTTCATACGAAATACAAACGATTTTTCAACCGGCGATTTTTTTTGGTCAAGTACATACGAATAAATGATGCTTTTGTCGACTTGTGTTATTAAATGAAAAGCACCCATTATAGAAGAAGAAGAAGAAGACGGAAGAGGGTCGATAGGTGGCGGTGCGCGAATTCGATTTCACCAAGTGCGCTCTGGTGGGCGCGTAGTCCAGGTCCGCCGCCGAGTTCACAAGCCATTTTGTGCATCGTTGGAGCAGCTGTGCGAGGAATATTACTTGTCGTTTCGCCGTGAAAATACCAACGTTCGCGCGCCCGCGGTCGACGTAGGTGCGTCAAGTGCCGCCGCAGGCGTATATCGGCGCGTCACCGTCCAGGACGCGAGGCGCGTTACACTCGGCGCGATTCGCGAGAGTACGATCACGCATCGCGGAAATCTCGACGAGAGACAAAGAGACATCCGCGGCACCTTTTATTAACCTTGACCCGCTCGTCACAACAGTGAGTATCGTCCTCGGGAACGAAGTTAAAAATAGTCCCGCTGCGCCTAAAAGTCGCGCTCGCCGATGTTGTTATATGAATCGTTCTGCCGCGTTGACTAATGCGCGACATATATGACGCCTGTACGTGTATATAAATGCGCACGGAGAAAGGAATACTTGTGAGAGCAGCTTGGGAACGACGTGTGGTTCGATAGTGTGGTAGTGCTTGTTGTCGTCGTTTGTGCGCGTTTAGTTACGCGTACGTTTTCCGTGGAGACGTTAGGTCTGGCAAGCGAGCATGACTTTTCCTTTTAAACTTGTAAAAAGTGAACGTCTCAAAATGCCTTCAAATTAGAGGACTTCTACTTTTTACGAGTTTGTGCTAGAAAAAAAGTTTCGTGATTAATTCCTTGTTCTTTTGGCCTGAACTAACTTTTTGTCTTTAGAGTGGAGCAAGCACATAACCTAGCTTTGAAGAAAAAAGGAACAAAAGACTTGTGCTTTTTCAAAAAACTTCCTAAACTGATGTACAGTACACAAGTTAGAGCAAAACAAAATATAATTGTTTCTCCCTAACTTATCGCACTAGTGTATACCAGTTCAAAGAGTTCTTCAAAAAATGATAAACTTAAAATTTTGAATGTTCCACTAGTTCAGTTGAAAAGAGCAAACTTTAATAAGCTCAAGTGAATAACTTTGTGACATGATTTAAAAGTATATATTTTATTTAAATCTACTTGGTAGCATGAATTGATACAATGATGAATTGCTGTTTTCAGATTGTGAACCACCAAAAATGAAGATACCACATATACAATAAGAACTTTGAAGAGACGGAGTAATTACTAGAAATTGCATAGCTTCATAATATAAGAAGACTTATTATAAATTTTAGTAATATTTTCTCTAGTACAATGTTGGATGAGTTGGCCATATAAGATTATTAAAATGCACATTTGTCATTTGCCAACAATACATCATATCTTCGATCACTTCAGCTGTATGTATTCTATTGCTTGATATTTTATTGTCTTTTTTATCCTTTATCTATGAGTTTTTATTTTTTCTTTATTTTTACGTAATTTTCAAGCATATATATAAATTAGATTTTAATTTCTACAGTATTTTTATCTAGTTTTTATTTTAATATTTTTCTCATTTTTTATTTAATTTATTTTTAATTTTTCTCAGTATTCTTTATTTAGTTCTTATTTTAGTAGTTTTCATTTATTTTCAAATAATTACCAAATATATTTTTAAGTGTTGTTTTTTATTTTTACTTACTTTTAAATAATTTTTTTATTTTCATATTTTTCATTTAGTTTTTATTTCAGTATTTCTCATTTATTTAATTATGCTTGTTTCAGTACACATTGTTTGGGCAGTTTAAACAAAATGAGTAACGAGAATGTGGAAAGTCGGCTGCAGCCTCAGGTGGCGACCGAGGACTCGCCCATATTTCCCGACACGAGCGCGTCATGTGTAGACGTATGGATGGAGAAGATGAACAAGGGGGTGTTGACGAGTCTGAACTTCCGGGAATTTTGGCGAGTCTGGGTCCCGAAGATCTACAGTCCCGAGCGAAATGGCAACTGCCTGGCGTGGAGCATCGACGAGGCCAAGGCGCAGAAGATACTGTTTAGTCCTCTGGAAGAGTTCATCTGTAACGGCGATCCGCAAGTTGTCTTGAAAGAGCTTACCAAGATGGACAACCCGCCGTCAATGTGCGGCCGTGTGTTCAAGCTGGGCGAGCCAACCTACAGCTGCCGGGAGTGTGGTGTGGACTCGACGTGTGTCTTATGCGTAGGCTGCTTCCAGCAGTCCGCCCACCGGGATCACAAATACAAAATGGGCACATCTGGTGGCGGCGGTTGCTGCGACTGCGGCGACACAGAGGCTTGGAAGAAGGCCCCGTTTTGCGACGTACACTTGGCTGGTACGCAATCGAAGGAGTTGCGCGGCAACAACTTACCTGGCGACATCGCGGAACGAGCAGTGATGGCGTTCGAGGCCGTGCTGGAGTACTGCTACGAACTTTTGACTCTCAAGTACACTGTAGCGCTGCCCGCGAATCTGTGCGTCAAGGATACAGCGTGTTTCGAGCTCGCCACGGAGAAACTGGACGCTTTTGACAGTTACTGTACTGTACTTTTTAACGACGAGACTCACACTTTCGATCAAGTGATCAACACCTTGACGCGTGTCCTCAAGTGCTTGCAGCGAGACGCGGTGGAATATGTGAACAACGTAGACAGAGAGGGCAGGGCCGTGGTGAGGTGTTCGGTGTTCCGCCACTGCAACGAGCTGAGGTCCGACATTGAAAGGTTCACCTCGAGACACAGCAGTCGGCCACTCAAGGTACTCGTCTTGCACACCCACGTGGTCGCTCATCAGACGTTCTCTATGAAACTGCTCAATTGGCTGCAACAGTTCATCAGCCACTGTGAAGGCTTTCGCGTATTATTTAGCAACATCGCGCTGAACACTAAGCTACCCGACACTTCTATCGTCGAGGGCATCCTTACGAGGGACTCGCAGCTGTGGAAGTCCGCTAGGACCGCGTGGCATCGGCTGTTTATCACCGGAATGCTTATGGAATACGAGAGCAAGAAGGCACTAGCCGTAGTGTTCACTCACAACTACGGCTCTGTGATGAAGGACTTTATCAGAGACGATCACGACCACTCGTTCTCCATCGTCTCGCTCTCCGTGCAGCTGTTCACGGTACCGACTTTAGCTCATCATCTCATCGCGCACCACGACGCACTGTTCACTCTACTGAACACACTGCTCTCCGAGGTCGCTCGGCGATGTAACGCAGCAGGCAAGCTGGAATTCGAGAGGAACACGCCGAACACTTTGTTCAAGAGAGCGCTGTACATCTTTTACGACCTGCGCTACATACTGAGCGCTAAGCCGGACGAGTGGACGGACGAGCTGAGAGTAAACTACCTGCACGGAGTCACGTTATTGTTGACTCTCTTCTGCAGCATGCAGTGTATGGATGCTGTGCTTAGACAAGTTGGTCAACATATGGAGTATGAGCCTGAGTGGGAATCCGCGATTACTTTGCACTTCAAGTTATCGCCTGTCATCACTTTGGGTCTGGACTGGTGTGGGTCAGACAAGGTCGTACTGGTTGCGTCCTTTAGAATGGTGCTAAGGAAGCTGTATGAACAATTGGGTAATGAACCGGCACCGAGTCAAGTGCGAGAATTAGCGGATCATAGTGCGACATGCTTGCAGTACGACGTGTCGTCTCAGCCAGTCTCCATACACCTGCCTCTTTCGCGGTTCTTGGCCGGTCTGTTTCTACATCTAGAGAAATATAACCTGCACTTCCAGTCGGCCGAGTTTATCAGCCAGACGAAACCGACACCGGAACAGATTATCGAGCCTGTGCTGACGGCGCAAGTCATGATATCGCAGGTCTACTCTGGCATGTGGCGCCGGAACGGTTACTCCGTGCTGAATCAGCTCTACTTTTATCACAGCGTCAAGTGCCGTCACGAGATGCTCGACCGCGATATTATTTTGCTGCAAGTAGGCGCGTCTTTGATTGAGAGCAACGAATTTTTGATTCACATCCTAAATAAATTCAACCTACTCAATTGGGCGCAGCCGGATTTCGAGGCGAACGCTCTGAAGAATCAAGAGGAGGATAGCATGAGGCAGACGATCAATCTCGTGGAGGAGTTCCTCGGCCTGCTCATCACGATTATAGGCGAGCGTTACGTACCCGGTGTCGGTCAGGTCACCACGGACGATCGTTTCAAGAAAGAGATCATACAGCAACTGTGCATAAAACCGCAGCCCCATTCAGAGCTTATCAAGCAGCTGGTGGACGACGTGCAACATCTGGAGCCTGACATGGAGACCGTGATATGCGAAGTCGCGGACTTCAAGAAACCGGCGCATAGATCGGCGGGAAAGGGCGTGTATGAGCTAAAGCCGCACCTTTACTCAGAGTATAACGTATTCTTTTACCATTACACGAAGGAGGAACTGAGTATATCCGAAGAGGCTCAACGAAAACGCAGGAAGGCTCTGGGCGAGTTGGAGTGCTGCCCGCCACCAAAGCTGCCCAGATTGACGGAGACGTTCAGTCTGGTAGCGAATTTGCTGCAATGCGACGTGATGCTACACATCATGCAGACCGTGCTGGGACGGGCGCAGAATTTCATCGCCAGAAGCTTCTCTGAGCCACAAGTGCACAAAATACTACATCTCATCGGTTACGCGCTACAGGAGCAGGAGTCCGGTCACTACCCGTTCCTCGCATTCCCCGAAAGGGCGGCCAAGTGGAACATCTACAAGCTGTTGGAAGATCTGTCCAACAGCCAGCGTATCGACGCGCACAAGGATCTGTTGAAGTGGACTCTGGCAAAGTATCGTGAAGTCGCCAGTTACACGACTATGGACGTGACGTTGGCTCCTCCCCAGGTTGAGCAGTCGGCCGACACAGGCGAGACGAAGAAGCTAGACAAGGAATGGCGCACGAGGATGGCGGCGCAGAAGCGGGCAAAAGTCATGGCGCAGATGGCCGCTATGCAGAAGCACTTCATGAAGAAGAATGCCACGTTGTTCGAAGAAGCGGCCTTGGATGTCAACAAGAGCGATGATCACGGCTCCGTCATGGACTTGACTGAGCCCTCGCAGGAGGCACCGGTCGCCGTGGGCGTCGGTCAGACCAGCAGAATATGCGAGCAGAAGACTTACACCTGCATTCTTTGCCAAGAGGATCAAACCGTGACGGCGGCGGGTCCGGCGATGGTGCTGGCTACCTTCGTGCAACAATCCACCGTGTTATGTCAGCGCAGGCCCGACAACGACGAAATCAATCCCGTGTACCTGTCGGCCAAACTTGGCGCGTCTCCGTACACCAGCACGTGCGGCCACGTGATGCACGGCCGCTGCTGGCAGGATTACTTCGACAACGTGCTCGCCAAGGAGAATCGCCGACCCTACCGTATGCGCCAGCCGGCGAGCTTCGATGCCGAGAATCACGAGTACCTTTGTCCGCTGTGTGAATGCCTCAGCAATACCGTCCTGTTGCTGGTGCCGCCGTTGGGGATGCTGCAGCCAACTCCTAAGAAGCAGCCGGACATCAGTTTCGAGACATGGCTGGAGGTGATGTGGCTCACGCTCGAGTGCAAGCCGAACCGCAAGCACGGCAAGAAGGCCATGGAGGTGGAGGACGAGGAGATGCTGGAAGACACGATCGTGCCTCCTATGAACATACTACGGCGAGAGCTGGGCGACACGATAGCGGACGCATTCGAGTCCGTGTATTCACAGCCCGGGCCGTATCTCGTGGAGAACATGGAGGGCATGATACATCTCTTCGCCGCGCTATTCACGCACGCTACGTACCTAAGGGGCATCGGCCCGACCGATGACGACCACAGTGATCGAGTACCACTGTGGGCGTGGAAATCGACGGCCTACACGATCCACGCGATAGAGTTCCTGCTGCGCGACATGGAGAAGCCGCTCCTGGGCGCTTTGTCGTCCCGACAGCGGGACAGTATACAAAATCTCACGAGAATGTCATCCATGTTGGGTACATCGTTCGCGAATCACGCGCATCTCTGGGCGGACCGCGAAGTGCTGGTGAACCAGGCGATGACGTTACTGACGATATTACTAGAGAATCCTCACCAAGGACCCTGCATCTTCGACTGGGATCCATTCGGCATGTTGGTGCCGTTGATTAACCTATTGCCGAGTCTGTTTTACACGAAGCCCAATGTGGCGTCGCCGCCTATCATCACCGGCGGTGTGTTTGAGTCGCACGCGCTCAAACTCATATTCATTTGCCACATTGTGAAAATCCTGCTCACCATCGACCTAGAATCGCTCGAGAGCAGCATGGACGTGGACCTCGAACCGCTTGAGGGCGGCATGGACGTAGACAATCGCGAGACGGACGGCGCCGCGACTGAGAACACGGCTGACTCGAACCTTGCGCTGATACAAATACTCGGCACGCAAATCAGTCATAACATGGCAAACGAGCTGTGGCGACGTGCGGAAACCGCCTGCAAGCCGTTCCTGCGATGCTGCGTTCTGTACTTTCACTACGTGACTGACGTGCCAGCCCCGGAGACCTTGATGCAAGTACACGGCGACACGTACGAGAATATGTGCGTGTACTTGGGTTTGCCAACTACCTGCCGCGCCTTGATCAACTCTAATTTGAATATGGTTTTGAAGTTGACACAAATGTGGAAGAGCCATCCCACCGTCTGGCAGCATCTGCTGGGCGTGAAGAAGGTACCGATCGTCAAGGATCCATTGAGGGTGAACAAGCTGATTGATCTGCCGGAAGACTATAGCGATCTGATTAACTCGATATCTACATTCAGTTGTCCGAACAACGAGCAGGAGGACTCTCGCAATCCCACTCTGTGTCTGGTATGCGGCCAGATGTTGTGCTCGCAGAGCTACTGCTGCCAGACCGAGGTCAATAAGATCCCGATGGGTGCGTGTACCTACCACGCGATTAAATGCGGCACTGGAGTTGGTATGTTCTTGCGGGTGCGCGAGTGCGATATTTTGTTCCTGCGCACCCCGACCCGCGGCACTCACATGTGCCCGCCGTACCTCGACGAGTACGGGGAGACGGATCAGGGCTTGCGTCGCGGCAATCCGCTCCATCTCTGCCACGAGAAATACCGACGGCTCAACTATATCTGGCTGAGTCACGAACTGCACGAATCCATAGCGAGAGCCATCGAGTCTTCGAGCAGCATGGTGCCGACCCAGTGGCAGCACATGTAACTTTGTCACTCTGATAAGAGTAGCGCTGTCCCCGCTACTGATCCGGGATACCTTTAGAAGAAAGAGAGGGAGAAAGAAAAACAGAAAAAGAGAGAGAGAGAGAGAAAACCGAAGGTGAAACCGAGTACTAATTCTTTTAACGCTTAAGCGAGAATGTAGCAACAGCAGCCTAGGTATTATGATATCGTTGATTGTCTGTTTGAGAGAGAAAAAAGAGAGAGAGAGAGAGAGAATCGCTGCAATGACAAAATTAATTTATTGTGAGAGGGAAGCGCGAAGACGTGACATTTGTATATTTAGAACGCGAACGAGATTGTTTCTCTCCCAGCGCATTGCGACGTCGTTTTTAGATTGTTTTCAGAGTTTACGAAATCCTTTTGCTCTTATGTCTCTCAATTGTATATTAAAAAATACACATTTGTTTATACGTGTATTAACAAATTGTTGTTTCGGAGAGCTTTGTTGCTTGTGTATTTAAAGTTAACAATGACATTCTTCTATCCGAACGATCATTCATTTCGCAATCGTGTCGTCTTTTTTTTTTTTCGTTCTGCGACCTCGGCAATTTTTCTACGATGTACAAACGATGTGGTTCGTACAGAGACCTGCGTTCCAGATACATTAGACTCCTCTGGAAGACCTGGAGCAACTCGCACACACTTCCCAGTAAACACCAACTATCAGTAACACAGCATTAATGTTATCGTTTCCCACTCGACGATGTAAATGCGACATAACAGTTACATTGTTGGACGGGAAATTATAACGTTGACGTAATGTTACTGTCAGTTGGTCTATTTCCTAGGTTACATTTGCTCTTAGGCCGTATTAATAATCATCATCTGAAACTGGCCTCATGAGAGGTGTTCCGATTTTGATTCGCAGTTAGATGCAAATTTTTCAATTGAATTATAATATATGTGACATTTATATTAGTAATCGCGGTTCAACTAAAAAACTCATCTACCTCTGAATTCAAATCTGAGTATCTCACTTGTGTGTAAAAGGAGTTTCAACTAATAACTGTATTAATACGGGCCTTAAGTCACACACACACACACACACACATATCGGTGTGTCTACCTTCGGGCTAATTTATTCGCTAATTTTCGTATAGAATAGCGCACGGCTACATCAATTCGCAGACCGATACTCAAATAGCGACCCTCGTGTTCCTCGCTAAACCGGACACGAATCCACTGTGATGCACTTTTGTAAAGTAATAACGATCGTGGATTGCTCTGGGTCGACGAGAGAGAGAGAGAGAGAGAGAGAGAAAGAGAGAGAGCATCTTACGCTTCTTTCCCATCGTCGTCATCTCGTCCGAAGAGTTCACTAGTTAGGGACGCAGTTCCGTTGGCGATTATTCCTGCCATCGTTTGGTATTTTCTAGGAGGCTCGATATTTTACGTGTCAAAAGACTGTAGTCTGGTCGGGCCCACTGAGCTTTCGCGATTCGGCTCCCCGAGCACCGGACGTCCGCACGACGAGGAGAACGCGCGACGACGGGAACGTCTCGGCGCGAGTGCGCTATAGATAGAATATCAAAGAAATTTCGCGAGGGTGATCTGAGAGGAGTAATTTTTAAAATCTCAATGGTGAAGAAATAAATAATATGACGTAACGTTTCTGTTTATTTTCCTGTTTGTTATTGCCGGTATTCTAGGTGCTAATCGCAGGTCGCAGTGATCGCCGCGGGTCATGACGTTCCAGGACGCCGTCTTATCGGCTTTGCCGAAGTCGATTTCCATTGTTGATATTCGAAGCCTCGGTGTCGTGTCCCACGCTGCCGTCATGTGCAATTCAATCCGCCGACTTCGTCACGTTATCTGTCATGGATAATTAACGCTCAGCCACTCGAGTATTCGGATATCTGAAATCGATCCTCATTCTCTAAACTATTCGGATAATCCGAACTATTCGGTTTCAAGTGCGGATTAGGATCAAGATTCGGAATGTAAGAAATGAAAACTATTGATTAGGAAATTTATTGACTAGGAAATTTTCGTGAAGGATCCAGGTTGACGCACTGAGAAACGTAAGCGACAGGATTGCGAGTAATTCATTACTTTTTAATTGATTATCGTGTTTAATTGACAAGTTAATCAATAGAAGACTGTTTAATTGACAATTGATTTCAAAAGAATCAATTGAAAACTGTTCGATTGACGATTGGTTTCAACGAATCCAATTAAATTAACAATTTTTATAACGTTCAATTGACAATTGATATGAGTGAAGAAAATTAAAGATCGTTCAGTTAATATTATTAATTTTTAATTAATTGTTTTAGTTAATTTAATTGAAAGTCGTTTAATTGATGGTTAAACTTAGCAGGTTTAATTAAAGAATGTTTAATTGATGATTGCTATGAGCAAATTCAATCGGAGATTGCTGACGATTGATATGCTCAGTGCTCCTTTAATTTAATTTGCTCATCGTCAATTAAATAGCCTTTAATTAAATTTGCTAAGTTCAATCGTCAATTAAACGGCCTTTAATTAAATTTACTAAGTTCAATTGTTAATTGAACGATCTTCGAATAGTGGTACCATACACTTTAAATCCGAATTCGACTCGGAAAATTCGAATTCCAGAAAACCCGAATCTCAAATATCACATTTATCTCGAGTAATCGGATATCCGGATAGTGTCAGATCAATGAATCCTGAAACCTTAATTTAATGTATACCGATTGTACAGGTTGGCAAACTTGTCGAGGAACTCTATTGCATTATTCTTTATGTATGTGCGAAAAATGAATTCATCGTAATAAAAGGACGACAACGACGTGTATCACTTCGCCATCTGACGATCTTTATTTTCTCTTCAACGTCGTCGTCGAGAATATCGTATGATATGTCGAGTATGTGAACGGATCATCGTCGGAGCGCGCATTCGGAAGACCGTAATGTAATGAGAGACGTGCATTATTACGTTGATCGGACATGGATTGTTGAAATAAAGTTGCAACGCGTATGCCTTGTCGTCCAATTTTTAGCAATAAGCACGAGGTTGTGCTCGCTGTACATTATAGATCGCTTATGTAAGAGAACGCGATGATCATTCAGCATTTAGGGTACTTACGGAATATAGGAAGGACATTGTGCGAGTGTTTGCATACCGCATTCGTTATGAACAATCCCAGGCCGAGCGAAAAATCACGACAACGTCAAAATGACTGCAAGATGACTGAATGATTATGATTGAGAAGTAGGTTTCTACAGTCATTTTCTCGTCATTCTCCCGTCGTCGTTGTGACCTTTCTGCTTAGCCCGCGATAGCATCTCAGTAAACAATCTGTTAGCAGTCTGATGATAGATTGAACAGAATCTATCGACAGATCCATAGTCATCCGTGTCCGCAATTTGCTGTTCTGTCGTCAGAGTTTGCTGACAGAATCTGACAGCAAATTGACGGCAGAATCTGCAGTATTTCCATTTAAATACATTGAAACGACAGATTTCTACTCGATTTCTGCCGTCAGTCTGTGACATCAGATCCTGTTGTATTTCTACCAACAAACTACTGACAGTCTACCGCACACACTCCGTAAAATCTGCTTTTGCAGGTTTGACTATCTGGGATCATCATATACATATGATTAATATTTCTTATTAATCTGACACGCTGTATTTTCGTTAATACCGTCAAGAGGTAATGAAAGGGAGATCCTAGCAAAGCAGTATAAATTATTTGAATGATCGCGATGGAGAAAATCGCGACAGATAGACGTACATTCTATTCTAGTAAGTACCCCTTCAAGTTTCATTGGAAGATCATTTGTATTCTTGCTGAAGGTTCTGATACATCGCTAGATTATTTCTTCGTTAGAGATGAAAATTTACCTCGTACGCGATTTTATCTTCTTATTGAGGATATAAACTTGAATAGTATTTACAGTATATTATGGTTGTGTATGTGTGTGCGTGCGTGCGCGTGTGTGTGTGTGCGTACGTGCTTTGTGTGACATTAAATTTGTTTCTCAATTGTTTGTTTCCTTCGAACGTTACCCGCGAGGCAGGAATATAGAACGCATGAGAGATTGATTCATATAAAATTGGCGTTATTTTATATTGCTTAGACAATAAAATAATCTTGAAGAGAGTAAAATTGCACGTCAAGATTAATTGTCACCGAATATAAAGAACTTCACGTTAGAATCTTATACGGACTTCTCTCCAGTAAATACCAATTAACAATAATATTACATCAACGTTATAATTTCTCACTCAACAATGTAATTGTTACATAACATACACATTATATTGCATTTGCACTATTAAATGGGAAATTACAGTATTGACATTATGTTACTGATAGTTGGTGTTTATACTGGGTTGAAACAATCCAGCTTTCGACTGAGATTTTCTTTATACTTTACATCATTATGCACTCAAAAGGCGTACAAAACAGCAAATTTTAATAAACACCATCGAGATATTCCAGCTATTCTCTCTGATTATAACTTAGAATCGATCGATTTCTTAGCGAAAATATAACTCTACGATATTTCATATTTCTACTCTTTCTAAAAAATTAAAGAACTTGAAGAAAATAAGCATCGAATTTTAAAAAAAGAAAGGAAGTGTGTATCACACTCGAAATAAAATATACAAAATTGATGCATAAGAAAAGCCGTTTGCTTACTTATATATAGTTTAAAAATTTCTCGTATTTCGATTCTATTTTTAACATTTTTTTTCTTGTTTTAAGAAGAATCAAAAAGATTTTGGAGATAATCGAAGTGTATTTACGAAAACAGTATAGTGCTTTTTGGAGATGTGATTGGTCGGCTTCTCCGAGCACACGTTTATGCGGCGCCGCAAGCAGCTGGACGAGATTTCTTAACCTCGCTCGTATATTCGTTTAGTGAAGAGGTCGAAGAAAGTGTGTAACGTTTCGACGTCTCGACGATCATTTGGTTGAATGCTTCGTCCACGTGTCCGAAAGTGCTCAAAGCGGCGAAATATCACAAAAAACCGGAAAAATGTTTAAAAAGTACGTGCTCTGTTGCATGTCAGCTTTGTCGGTATCCTAACCTTTGCGGCAGGACGAATACTCGGACAATTAAATATCCTGCGCCCCGACAGAAAATTGACAGCGTCCTTTGTGTTTCTGCAAGAGTGCAGAAATGTTAATGTCGATATAAACGCTGAAAAAGAAATCAAATTCTACTTCAATGTTATTTTGATGACAAATTGTCCGAAAGCATTTCCTCTTCTCACCTGTAATTTATCCTTTTGTCATTTTGTCAGATTCGACGAGAAGGACAGTGTTTCTGGTGTTCAGCAATTAAAATCGTCTGTACAGAAGGGTATTCGTTCGAAGCTCCTAGAGCTTTATCCTCACCTGGATAACTATATAGATGTTATAATACCAAAGAAAGATTCTTTCCGTATTGTAAAATGGTAAGTTACTCTCTGCTCACAAGATTTCTCCTACAATTCAATGTTTCATTTCTTATTGATTGCCCACACCTCAGCCACGACCACATAGAGATCATAGTGAATGCAGCAGGAGACCTGTTATTTTTTCGCCAACGTGAAGGGCCCTGGATGCCTACTTTGAGATTACTGCATAAATGTGAGTTCCTCTCATACTTCAAGACAAAAGAAAGCATATTGTGAAGAAGAAATATTGAAATATTTCTTTTTTGACTTTTCACTCTTGCACATAAAAATTACAAACTTTTAGATCCATTTTTCCTGCCGATGCAGCAAGTCGATAAAGGTGCTATTAGATTTGTCCTTAGTGGTGCTAACATCATGTGTCCTGGTTTAACGTCAAAAGGTGCGAAGATGATGACTGTGAATAAAGGAACTGTCGTCGTATCCTTCAAACAATACAATGCAAATTAAGCAACCTGTGATGTTTTTTAAATAGCTTTATTAGCTAAAAAAATTCTATAATTTTAGCTAATAAATTTACAATTATATATATCATAAATTAGCGATTAGCTTGATCCAGTTGATGATGTCCTTAACATAAGATACAGGCTGTTATGGCAGAAGGCAAGCAGCACGCGTTAGCTGTTGGAGTCACCACACTGTCGACGGAAGACATGTAAGTCCAAGTCCTGGTTCACACAATAGATGTAGTAAGCCTTTAGCAGATTAATTTAAGCCTAAAACTGTGATGTACATTTCGGCTAGAAGCGTTTCCCATTACTGAAGCAATATAGTGATCCCTAAGTTTTGAGAAAACTAGTCAGATTTCAGCTGACAGTTTACGAAACGCTTTTTGACGGAAATCATAAGCCTCAGAGCATAAGGCTAAATGCTTACTGCACTTATTGTGGACTTGAGATGTAGAATTGAGTTATTTTCCTGTCATTCTACTTATTGGAGTTGTTATGATTTCCAGTATTAAAGTAAACAAAGGAGTTGGCATCGAGAATTGTCACTACTTGAATGACGGACTGTGGCAAATGAAGCCTGTGAAGTAAGACTGTACCCTAAAACCCGTACCGGGTACAATCGGAAGGATCATTGTATACAAACGTTTTCTCGTACACTTTTTCTTGCAACTACGAAGTAGAGTCGACACGTGCTGCTGTCATCGCACGGAACGATAAGTTTTCGTGTATGTGCACGTCACGGTGTCGTGGGCCATAGTAAAACTCCTGTGTTCTCATCGTGGCTCTTTTGATTTGTGACGTCAGAAGCGAGAAAATGCATACCTAAAATTCCTGCAAAACATGTTAAAATAAACAAAAATCCAAAAAAATTAATTAAGCATATCTTTAAAATACTTTGAACACTTTTTCCTTTTACTTTAACAATAACCGTAAAATTAACATAACATACAATTTTTCTTTTTAATATTCATATTCATTTCTTTTTATATTCATTATTTTGTTATGCTACGGTTATTTATTGACTGTTAGAACAAAAGTATCCGGAGTATCTTACAAGTGTATTATTTAATAAATTATAAGTATCACTTTCTGAATATATCTTTTTATTTCGATATACTTAGGAATATTGAAAGCATTTTCTCGCTTTTGACCTCACCAGTCGACAGTTTCGTGGCAAAGGCAGGCCCCTCTTAATCACTATATTTCTACCATACAATAATATAAATCAATAGTGTTAAGTTTGTAATCTAAAGATACGGAATAGTACAGATGCAAACAATCGCAAACACACATTAATATATCGATGAATCCCTTATTCTACGATGATTTGTAAAATAAAAAGAACGATAAAGAAATACTTAGGCGGACCCAGATTTAGTATCCTGACCCTCCTGATTATCTGACGGACCCGAACGTTCGCCTTCGCAATGTCCAGCGGGCGAAGAATAAGAGGAAGGATTGTTGCCGTCGGGAGCGGATGTGGGCACGGTAGTGGCGTTCGAACCGGTGACGTTGGTGTTCGCGTTGCCGCTATCGGCGACCGCGGTGTGAGGCGACTGTGGGTGGTAATGCGGACTGTGTGGGCTATGCGGGCCATGGCCATGAGGACGTCCCATTGGATGAGGCGAGTACTGCGAGTATGGTTGATGATAGTACGGATGAGTGTATTGCGGATAGGGCTGATGATACGGTTGCTGCTGGGAGTAGCTGTAAGAAGGATGCGGCGGTCGTGGGGCCAACGGGACGTTCTGCGGCTGTTGGCCGGGCGCGGACTGATATTGCTGGCCGTAGCCTTGATTGGGCGGCATCATCTGGGGAGTGTGCGGGTTCGTCACCGGCCCCTGCGGCGGCATCACTTGCGTGCCTTGAGTGCCCTGCGCGGCCTGGTGCGGCGGCATCGAGTGATTCGCTAGCATTCCTTGCTGATGGGGATTATGCTGAATTGGCACTGACGGCGGCGCAGATACCGGAGGCATATTCTGCGAAGTGGAGTTCGCAGTAGCGTTCGCGCTAGCGACTACTGCCGCGACCGCAGCCGCTGCTCCGGCTGTCGTGGTCGGCTGTTGTTGCGGTGGTAGTACTGGAGTTGGTTGTTGCTGTTGCTGCTGTTGTTGCGGTTGTTGCTGCTGCTGGGATTGCGGGGGTGGCGGTTGATGTTGTTGTTGAGTGGGCGGCGGCTGATGCTGTTGTTGCTGAGGCGGCGGCGGCGGCGGTGCCTGATGTTGCTGATGAGGCTGTTGAGGAGGCGTCGGTTGATGCTGAGGTGGTGGCTGGTGTTGCTGAGGCTGATGCTGCGGCGGCTGGTGTTGCGGTGGCTGATGCTGCGGCGGCTGATGTTGCGGCAATTGATGTTGTGGCGGTTGGTGCTGCGGCGGTTGGTGTTGCGGTGGCTGGTGTTGCGGTGGCTGGTGTTGCGGTGTCTGCGTTTGTTGCTGATGCGGATGCTGAATGGGATTCACCATGCTGTTGCAGTACATGCCAGAAGTGGGCGCATGCGGTTGATTGATGTTCACTTGCACCATCGGTGGCTCGGCCTTGTTCTCGTTGTACGGTGGCGACATTTTCTTGTTCATCTCAAGGCTAGCTTTATCGGCAACGCCGCCGATTTTCTTCTCCATCGTATCGTTGTCAGAAACCTACGTGAAAAAATGGTGTGAATATTCGAATGGTGTGAATGTTACGAATGTATTGTTATATGAATGTATTGAAATCTTAAGTGATCCTTGTCTGTTATTACATCCGGCTGAGTTTCGTCGTTGAGTGATGCCGGAGTCGGAGTGGGAGTGGAATTCGGAGTGGATTCACTCGACGCCGGCCCGTCCGAACGATTCTCTTCCGATCCTTTCTGTCTATCTCGTCTAATAGCTTCATATTGTCGTTCCACCATTTTGTTGAATGTTTCCTCGTCGACCGCCGGCTTGCAGTGCTGAAAAAGACAGTGATTGCGTTTTCTACAGTACTAATACTATTTGTTTTTAAATCTTTTTGGCACGGATGGCAAGTATAGATATTGTTCGAGAAATATCTTCTACAGACAGAGACTTCATGTGTGTGTGTGATCAACTTCTTACAAGGCTATAAAATATATTAAAAAGAAAATTGTTATTTACCTTTTTTAACTCTTCTTGAAATATTTCGCTAGTTTCTATGAATTTACGTTTCTTCGCTTCAAATTTCTCCTCGATTTGTTGCAACTCTGCCTCAAGCTTTTTCTAAAACACCCGATAATTTGTTTTATTTAAGATATATATCAGTAAAATATATGTTTAACGGTGTGTGTTTCATTACCTGGTGCATCGTCAATGATTGCACTTGACGACGTAGGACTTGCATTCTTTGAGTTGTAACGACCGACCGAACATCGGGCACAACGGTATCACTGAAAATCTCATTAATAAGGCGATGGTTTCGCGTATAACGCGAATATGCCACGTGTTTCACAGAATAGCCATCATCTTGATCTAGAAATCATGTGGAATATATTGATAATATAAATATGTACACATAATTATTATCTCCTGTAATTATCATCGTTATCATTGATGTACCATCGTCATCTTCCGCTGGTAAAATATCGATCCTTCTATCTTGAGCTGCTTGACTTTTACTACTGCCAGAAGAACGTTCGTGACTTTCTCGATCATCGTTGTTTTGTTGTGCTACACACAACACTGCATTAGATACAAGATATTGTGATGTTATTAAATAGTTTCACATCACATTATTTTTACCATAAACTTTGAAACTGTACTTGTTCACACTTACTCGATTTTCCGCGATTCTTGGCTGCGATATAAGCTAGATATGCGGGCGAATTATGATAGGTCTTCAAGCTTTTCTCATATTCCACCTATATTAAACAATTACACGTGCAACATGTATGAGTATATTATTAAATTGTGTAGTGCCACAAAGATGTAATAGTATGCGTTCTTGTATACCTTTTCAGCTTCATATTCCTCAATGAATTCTGTTTTATCTTCCTCTGGCAAATCTCTCCACATCTGCCCAATAATCTTGCCAATTTCCCACAGTTTTAACTCTGGATTTTGTGCCTTCACTTGATCCCATACCTTCCTGCTATATCTCATGTACGGCATAAGAGGTTTCTCTGGTGGTTTAGGTGGTTTTGGTGTACGAGAGTCAGCCTGAGAAAAAATGCATCAATTATCTAATATTCAAAATAAAGAGAACTTCCCTTATTAGATATAATTTAATTAGACTTAAATTATTCCATAACTGTCTACAACAGATATAATCTTGGGCATAAGATGAGATACATACATTAGTATTTTTTCCTACTTTTTGAGGTGTGAATCCTGGGTGGCTATGTGGTGTTTGGATAAATGGACTTTGTGCATCTTTCTGAAATATGACAAAATTTCATCAAATCTCATAAAATCTGATTATTCAACAACAAATTTATCTTATCAGAATAGTATGTACTCACACTATTTGTTGAACTGCTTGTACTCCCACCAGATGCCCTCATTCGTTCTATAGCAAAATACAACAATATGAGTTGCATACTTCAGCTTTGATATAGTAAAGGTTAAGAAAATTAAAAAACTAATTGTACTCACGGTTAGAGGCAACAATGTTCGATGTAGCCATTGCAACTTGTTTATAGTTTGGTGGTAACGCCATTTTGTATCAAAATAATAAGCTTCCTTATAGGGAATAGATAAAATATTAATATTGATGTTGGGGAATTTATATATGACTTTTATTATAACTTGTTCTTTGTGTTATCATTGTTACTATTTTCTACTTTAGTTTCTACAGAGTCTGTTACTTTAGTTTCTACAGAGGAAATAAATAATGGCATTTCATAAATCAAATCTAAATCATAAATTTAAAATAATCAAATCTAAATCATAAATTTCCTTTCCAACTGCTAAAGTACAGAACTGTCTCTGCATTTGAACTTACTATGAGAGATCAGTGGATGAGTGTCAGGATGTCTTTTTTTTATTAATTCATGGACACTGTGTCTTGGTTCGTGACACAATAACACTTGAGAATCTTGTTACCACCCTCTCTCCAGCTTAATTAATTCATATTGTGATCCTGAAAGTAATTTGGAGCACTCCTGTTCTTTACTTCTTTTCAAAAATGTTTTTACACGTAGGTATTACTCGATCCGCTTGAGAGGTAGAAGCCATGCATATCGTTCGTTACATTACGATACGCGTCTGCGACCTTGGTTGCAGTATGGAAATAAAGTTGCAAGGAACCTGCAACAGTAAATACAATGTTGTTGTTGAACCGGTAATTTGCGACGAAATACACGTACTTCGACACTTATTCGGAAAATCACAGAAATAATTGTAAGTATGAATCTATGAGGTGGCTCGCGTCCATACTACGTCCATATCCGGTTTTTCGCACATGCGCAACACAACGCGAAGAATGTATATATACAGTAATGTATCCATATACGAAAGCCCTGTTCTGTATTTGCTTACTTCTCTGAGATTTTTCTCTTTTTTTCTTTCAAGAATTGAGTACAGATTATAGGATGATCAAAATAAGTGATACATTAATTTTATTTGCTACTTCATTTATAGGGCGTGAAAAAATTTGTAGATAATTTTTGGACAAGGCCAACAACTATACGTCACTGAACGTCAATCGTCCATATGCACGCAAGTAAAGATAACAGCCAATGGTAGAAGAGAGTCATCACATAGCGCGTTTCTCATTTCAAGCGTTATTGGTTAATACTTCCAAGTGTGTGTGTGAGTGTGTAAGATCCAGAGTTGTGTTTTATAGTGTATAAATGAACGTATGTGATTAGTGGTTATTGCCTGATATGTTTACGATTATGGTATCCATTTCTACCTATTATTATATATATATATATATTTTTTTTTTATTATTAGATATAATCGTGTAATTTTTCAAAAGAATATTAGAGATACCCAAAGGTTATTTTCTCGAATTGATGTATTACAATCAAATGTATTATATACATTACGAGACTATCTGTTTCAACATATATCACAATAGTTCTAAAAATGTCCAAAATATTTACATTTATGAGGTAGAGAATAATTATCAAATTAAAATATGTACAAAGTTATGTTAAAATCAAATCTTGGTTATTATAGTTTACTTTTTGGTTAAAGCTTCAAGCATATGAAGCTCTTTGTGCTGTGAAGAGTATAAACTGTAATTTGGTAGAGTAACTTTATTCATATTGACACAGTGTCTGTTCGCAGTTGTTTTACATAGGCAGTGTTTCAAGTCGTTGCACGACCTGCTAGAAAAGAAAGCTCTTCTGTTACTTCCTTGTTTCACACAAACCTTTCTCTTATACATATATATATATATATATATATATATATATATATATATATATATATATATATATAATCTATTATCTGTTCAAAAAAGGTCGTATCTTTATATAATTATTTCTAATTGTGTTCTGAGCATTGACGACACATCAGCGTGTGGTATAAGATGTACATTTAATTCGTGTATAATATGTCGTAAATCGGTCTGGGCAAGTAATGATTGCACATTGCTTGCATTCTTTCACTGCGCGACACGGGTGTGTATCGTCGCATTGGGAAAGTCTTCACCACTGCATCTGTGAGAGTTCTCGTAACAGCGGTCAAATCTGCCTCAGGTCCTTGGGTGTATTTCTCCAGGGCTAACATTTCTGCTTGAAACAGTTCTTGGCCATATTCCTTGCGAGTCTGAGGATCTAATTGCGTCCACATGTCTCTGGCTTGCTCCAGCAATGCCGTGTTGTCTTTCAGCCATGCGTTGCCAGATATGTATTCTCCAGTTTCCACGATCACTACGTCCACGCCCCATCTTCTCATTTCCAGTCTTAAGCACGATCCCCAGGCCTCCACAGCAGCCTAAGATATTTATATAGTCTTCTATTGATTTACTCAAGCTTTATTAATACTTCCACTTCCACGATTACACAAATAGGCAAGCAACTTGTATGACGTTGTAGCCAAGGAAAGTTTACCTTGAGTGCACAGTAAATGCCTCGTACGGCACTGGGTATCCGCGCCAAGAGGCTGCTGACTAGAACAATTCGACCTTTTGATCTCCTCACCAAGGGTAGAAACACCTGTCCATAAAGGAGAAGAAGAAGAGAGAGAGAGAGAGCGTTGCATATCATGTCACGAGTTCCATATCTCTTGTCATTTGCAATGCTCAGAGTACCTGAGTTAAACGCGCCAGGCCGATGAAGTTGATGTCTATGCTTCGCTTGAGAACAGACGGGGGAACCCACTCGCATTCTCCGAGAGTTACCCAAGCAGCAGCATGCACCAGTGCCCATAGTCCTGAAATAACGCGTCGATACGGATGGAATGATCCGTTATGGGAGAGACTGATAACTTTAAGAAGCTTTAAGGGATATACCGGGAGCTCCGTCGGGCAAGTTCTCGTTGACGTAAAGGAAGGTAGAGTGTATATCACGTTCGCTCGTGACGTCCAGCTGCAGCACGTGCAATCTCCCCGAAGCGTCATCTTTCAGTTTCTGCATGAGTTCCTCATTCTCGGCTTTATTACAGAATCCAGCGAACACGGTGAAGCCCTGAAAAAGAGAGACCTGTTGTAGACATCCGCTGGAAGTCATCTCAAAAAGACTAAAATGTGTACTACCAAGTCGTCCAGCTGTTTAGCCAGAGCGTATCCAACTCGCGAGTCGCAACCTGTGATTAGTATTGCCTTCCCCGCTACAGTAACCTGTTGCATAAAATGGATTGTTAAGCATACTTGAAGAATCAAAGCTTATAATTTGTAGAATCCGAAGGCTCATGATACTTTGAAGGCATCTCTGTCATTGATCGAACGATAAAAGTCTCGAAGTCTCTTATAAAAAAGTATAAAACAGGAAGTATGGTGCATGCACTGATGACGAGTGCCATCATGTCGATATAATGCAAAAAAGGTCAAAGGTCCGGATCAGTCCTAGTGTGAAAATCCATATCCGCTCTATCATAAAGGGCCTTTGAACTTTCAAATACTCGTAAGTGTTTGACATTATAAGGAGTATGAAAGGTTGACGAAGGCACGTAATTTTGTCACCATAAAAGCACGACTGCGATTTACCAAAGGTCAAAATAAACAACATAAATCCTTTGTGTTGTCCTAAATTTCCTTTTAGCGGACTTATCACAGGGGAAATAAGTGGGGCGGATAATTGGAGCAATTCACTGTGTAATCGGATGCAATAATGATTAGAATTATCGTTGCTCGAAGAGTAGGCATGTATCAGCATTTGTTATAGGAGAAAGCGCTTGTAACGCAAGTATCTTACCTTCAGATTGTGATAGAACAATGTGGATCCTATCGATATGACCAAGAGCAGTATGAAAAGAACGAAACTAGACGTTTGTGAGATCCCGAAGGTATTCAGTATAGTCGCCAGGATGACCGCAACTGCGTGTGAAAATGCTATGGGTAGCAGACACCTCTCCGCTAACTCCCATGTCTGACTGTCGTCGGGCTCTTTATTTCCACTCGGTGACGGCATTTTTTAGTCCGGATCCTGTCGAAATTTTAGTCAAATATGATTAACTCCATCCGTATGGATTCCGCGGCTCACCTAGAAGCCCTAACTGGGCTATGTCTGAGCTAACTTTAAACTTAAAACAGTGTCTAGTCTCATTGGTCTAAATTTAACTACAGTGCTGTGTCTTAAATTCGAAGATCCTAGTAAACTTTGTGATATTCTCGAATAGGAAGAGCTATAATTTCAGTAATTACTGCTATACTCAATTTTTTATACAAATTTCATGTTCATTAAATTATAAATAAAAATATGTTTTAGCGCTCTACGAAAAAAGTTAGAATTTGTGATACTACTAGCAATTTGACTGCTTCACAAGAAACTATTGACAATAAATACATGTGTATCGTACAAAACTTTTGTATTGTAACAGAAAAGTTCCACATCTTCACATTTTCTCTGCAAATATTGCTCTGATATTAATATCGGCACAGTCACTCATCGTTAAAACAACAAATAAAAAGATCAGAGATAAATTTTTTATATTGAAAAACGTTACCAAGAGGCACTCAAAAACCTCTTGGCGTTGCGCATTCTCTGAATTATATATATATTGCAGAAACATTTTATTTTCCATTTTCCCTCAAGTTCAGAGAAAAACGGATCGATCAGCTGGTACCGCGAATCATTTCATCAATTGTGCACGTCGGTGCATCCGGAGGTCGCGTTGTCCCGCCCCGCATCGGCGGTGGCCACGGTATATTTTTGTAAATTTCTCGTCTGGCGCTGATAAAAAAATGAGCGCGGCCGTAGGGAGTGGGGTAGGTTATTGATTTCTCTGTAGGGATGCGGCGGTGTGTCGGGGGTCGGTAGGTGGGTAGGGTAGGTTGGGGTGGGGTGCGCCGTGTGTCGGCGGGGTGTCTCTCGCTCGCGTATATACCTGCGGGAGAGTCTACAAGGGGTATAAATAGAAGGGGTAGTTGCACCGTTGACCCAGTGTTGGGTTGACACACGGTCAGTTCAGTCACTCAAGGCATTCACTCTCTCTTTCTCTCTCGCTCGCGCCGCACAGCCGCTGCCGCCACCGCCTCTCCTTGAGTTCTCATCTTTTTTCCCTCATTGTGCGCGTGAATTGTCGAGCGTGTGCACACCTCACGAGTCTCTTGCTCCTCGAGTCCCAGTTAGTCTTACTAGGTCGATCCGATGCAATCCTGAGCACTGCCCTTTTCATACTTGCGTTCGCTCGAGCGGAGTACAATTTTTCAATCCGAAGATATCGGACAGCGGTGCATCTTGCCTTCTGGTACATCGTCGAGAAGATCTTTCCTACGAATAAGAAGATACGACGTTAGAAAGGAAGAAAAAGAAGCGTTTGCACACCGTGTTCAGTGTTACGTCTCGCGCAAGGGCGTATTCCTCCAGCTCCACCTCGCCTCTATCATCAGCGCGGATCATTCGAAACTTCGGGCACACCGTCGAAGCACCATAGCAACTAATGTGCAACGATCATCAGGCCTTAGCAACAGCTAGTTCTCTGGAAGAAAGTGAGTCCTTCCTGACTTAAACGTTCGCGCTCACCCATTGGGCGTTGATCTCGCAGCATCGTGACGTGATAAGTCGGACCTCGAGCTGATCATCAGCAACCAGCGAAGTTAAGAGATTTTCCTCTCTCGCTTATTATCCGACGTAACGATGTCAGACGCACAGGGGATCACGCAGGGAATGGGCAATCCTTACAAGATAGTCGATTACACCAGGGAGCGAAGGAAGGGCATCACCGCTTCGTCTCTCAAGGATTTGACTAACATCGCGCGTAGCCGTCTGGCGTTGCCTGTGGACGCGGATTTGACAATCGTACTCGAGCAGGATGGTAAGCAAGCGTCTCTTTCTTTTTCTTTCTCCTGCAATAGACTGATGTTAATATACATACATATATATATATAGTGACAATCTTAATAATTTTAATATGTTAAATACTAATTAAATGCTATATTAAATGTTTACATGTTAAATATTAGTATGTTAAATGTCCAAAATGTTAACATGTTAAATGTTGTGACAATTGTTTGTCACTTACTTTTAAAATCTCATTGAGTCTTCTAACAGTAATATTGCATATTTTATATTATATAACAATATTGTATCATAATAATGTTCCTTATATTAGAAAATCCTGTAGTTTGACAAATATCATCTGTTTTTAATTATTTGTTTCCAGGAACAGAGGTGGATGATGAGGAATATTTTGCCACGTTGGAAAGGAATACAAGCTTGATGGTGCTTCACGGTGACCAGAAGTGGATCGCCGCGGGAAGCAGCAAGGCAACGTCTCGCTACATCGTCGTGGACGACGTGGATAACGTGGAGGGTAGTTCAAGGATCGATAAGATCCGACGACAACGAACGCCCATAGAACCCTTGGTGTCGTCGCTGCATGGTGATCCATCGCATATTTCGCTGCTCGGCGGCAACGACTTGGAATTGCTCAGCGATATGGATCCGGACAGTTTAGCCGATATAGTGCCTGACAGGTAGGTTCCATGCAATTGTGTATTGAGGCGATCACCTTATGAGACGAGACGGTATCGTTAATTCCGTTTACTTTGCGATGTTACAGACTCTTCCTCGAGCAGCTGAAAGAAGCGTCAGGTAGATTCTTAGCGGAGAAGCGACAAGCGCAAGAATCTATGGCTCTCCTTCAGATGTATGCGAGCGGCGGTGAGATGGAGCGAGCGTAGGCCATGTGGGGGGTGGGCGCCCTCACATTGGCTAATATGTATAGAGTGCGACGTCGCATATTCTACAAAGGTCGACAGCTGCAACAAACTCTGATCTTATTCTGGAATTGAGCCCATCTGATATCTCACTTTACACAATAATAGAATTAAACTCTTACGGAGAACACGAGCATCTCAGTTGCTAAAAACAACGTGATGCACATGACGTATCAGTGACGAAGATCTCGTATTTTCTCTCGCGCAGAAACACACGATACGATGAATGGAGTGACAGAGATATTGTACAGAGACAGGAAACGTGAATAGTAACGTTCATACACTCGGCAGATTTAGTACTGTAATAATGTATAGTTTCGTCTTATACATATTATTATATATACACGTAGAGAAAGTAGTAGTTCTAAGTTTTTTGTAGAATTTTTTTAATCTATATACACTATATTCAGTGGCACAACTATGCTTTGGCAATATTTTACATCTTTAGTGAGCGTATGGAATTGCTTTGATACAACATAAGAACTTGCTATATACTGGCAGAATTATATATACGCGATTTAGCTACTAACTTGTCTGAATATACACAAGGAAGCTGCATAAATAGCGGTCTCAAAGTGAATATTCCGTCGCGATATTGCCATATCAAGTATTAGCGAAACGTGTTTTGTTTATGGAATTTTTGTACTTAGATACGTCATACCGAGATTTAGTTCAACGAAGATCGATGGAATATTTAAGACTGAATTTATAGGGAAAATAAAAGCCATCCCCATTAAAATCACCAACTCATTGTACACTCACGTTAGTGACGTAATAGCGACAAAAAAAGTCGATATCAGCCCTTTGATACCAAGCAAAGTTGTGCATTTGATAAAAAACGACATCCGCAAAAAAGAGAGAAAATAGACAGGTGTTTCTGACAAGATTATGCATACACGTGCGTAACTAGATACTAAAGAATTCCAGTTTTATGATTACACATTTGTTACTTGCGTAACAAGTAATGTCATATTTATATCTATGTGATTCACAAAAGTTGAAAAACAAAGTAATATACATGCGAATACAAATGTTGCATTTTTTAAAGTCGAAAGTGTATGTCTACTCTCTGCAGAAATATCCTGTTTCAATATCGTGACGTTCTTTGATATATATATCGTAATATAATTACAACACACCTCTCTCTATGCACTAACTACATAGTACATATTTATATTAGAATTCATACCACCACCGCGTTGAAAATTCACGTAACTCGGAAATAAAAAAAAAAAAGATGCAACGAGACTAGTATTGAATCGTTTGCTATTAATCGGGTGTGTCATTAAATCAGGCGCGATGTACATTCGATTTCGCGAGAGCCCATCTTAGAACATTAGTTTATAATGAATTGAAGTAAGAGAAAGAAAAAGAGAGAAGGATCAATCGATCGACACTCGGTCTCTCGGAATGAATCCAGATGCGCTAGAAAGTAAAGTACACACGAAATAGAACTGCCAGTTGAAGAAAAAAAAAGAAAGGTCGAGAGTAATGCTCAACAATCTCACCAGACGTAAAAAGAATATGCATTTTTTTAATGTCCGCATTTAATGCGCGAAATGGCATTATTAATGAATTCATGCCTGTTACATCGCTACGCGTAATATCTTAAGAATATAAATACGCACTAATAATTTTTAGAAGTTAAGTTTTAATGGAATGCAAGAAGTCGTCGTCTATGAGTTGATGTAGAGCGTTGGAGGCATCCTTTATCCGACTGGACGCGTTACGCAGTTGACATACAGCCTCTTGTAGTACTAGTTCGCTTCTCAACAATTGTCGGTTAACAGCTGACAATTCCTGTACACCAGTCGCGATGACGCCCTCGGTCATTTGCAGAAGGTCTTTGTCCAAGGTTTCATTGCATTCGTCTGTTCAAATTTAACATATGTCAATTTAAAATAATGTTCAAAATCCACGTGTAAGCGGTATATATATGTATATATCGATTTCTGTTCATTTTTCGAGATCTAATTTAATGTCTTTCCGAAAACGCTGTTTTATAAGAACTTGTAAAAGAACACATTGTTTGTACAGTGAATTAGATAGATGCTATAATTATGCGAACGAGTTCTAGACGCAGCACATTGATATTAAGTTAGATAGGTAATATGAATTATACTGAACAATTAAGTTATCAATATGCCACACACACATACACAGATAGTCTCATATAATACTGTTTAGCTGTAGTTATGCACATTGTACTGCTGTAATATTAATAAAAGAATGTTAACAAAAGTAACATTTCATAGTTGTCCTTGTAAATGTCTTGTTAATATACAGAAATGAAATCTTAGAACATTAAGATTGTTACATTACTTACATAGCTTCTTGTGAAGTAGACTATTGTATTTGATGGTACTTCTTTTGGATTTTGCTATCTTTAAATCTGTGTAAGGAGGACATGCCATAGCATCCATTGCTCCACTAATACTGCTCAAGCTAGTTAAATCTATAAGTAAAAAATAGCATGTTACTCAAGTTCCCATCTAAGTAGGAATATATTAGCTAACTTACCGTCATCAGATTCTGGTGCTTCACCAGAGATAATCGTGCCACAGTAATTTGATGTTCGTACAATAGGAAATCCTAAGCCCTGCATGTGTAGCAAAATATTCACAAACATTATATTTCTTCTGTTAATTACATTAGGTTCATAATATAAAAGAATACAATAACATACAGTAGCAATATTTGAGGCATCGTCATCAGATTCTGGAGCTTCTCCAGAAACGACTACAGCTTTCAAATCCATTTTTCGAGGAATATGTGATGCTGGCTACAAAATATCTGCAACGCTGTAACCAAAATATATGACTAGTGTAGTTAGAATTTTGAAATATTACAAGTAATTCTCATACAACATCGTTTTTGGTTCAGCATGTTTTCATAAAAATATATACACATTTCGCTACTATTGTCATTATTACTGAAATACGTATAATAATGTTTAATATCCTGTCACGTTTTGAGGTTAACTTTATTATTTGAAAATATACATGTATACAGAAAATTATTATTATTCACTTTAATGAAAATATGATACGTACGTCTTAGAACAACATGATTGTTTACCTTTTAAATTTGCCTGCAGCTTGTTTTGGAAAAACGCCTACATAGTTTTCTTCAGCATAATACCAATCTAACCTAACATTTCCAGATCTGAGCATTCTTTGCTGTTATCACTATCGTGATCAGACGCAATATATTTACAATATGTTACATACCTATATTGTACAATATGTTACATTCAATTAATAGGATAAATTAGTATAATAATAAAATAATCAATATGCGATATGAACGTTTTATATTTGAGACAATAATTTAATATCATAGCTATTACAATCTAAACTGAATAATGGACTTACTAAGGCAAGAAATTTACATGAAACACAATATATACATTTTTATATCTTCTCATTTTAAAAATCGGAGAGAAAAGTATATAGTATGAAAGTATATTAACAAGTGACAACATTTATTTTGCTTATTTATTTAAGCCTAATTGGGAAGATAATGGTTTTGTTATAGTAATTACATCATAATATTGTCAAATATATAATATATAATATTGCTATTGATATTATGTGATAAGGTTATGGGAAAAGGTGCTTATGTGAAATGGTTCTACCCTAATATTATTAAAAATTGCAGACTGGGATTTGAACCCGGAACCGTTGCTATTCGCCCGAAGAGCGACAGTTTTGAGTTCGAGTCCCGGCCTGCAATCTTCAATATTAGGGTAGAACCATTTCTATAAGCACCTTTTCCCATAACCTTATCACATAATATCAATAGCAATATTATATATTATATATTTGACAATATTAGGATATAAATACTATAACAAAATCATTATCTTCCCAATTATGCTCAAATTAATGAGCAATATGAATGTATTTACTTATTAATAATATACGCCGCACTGCACATATGTTTGTACAGTACATATAAATTTCTGTACTGCTATCTTAGGAATGGTTCTAGCCTAATATAGATCTGTGGGTAGCTTAATTGTGACATTTAGAGTAATCGCCCGGCAAGCGAAAGACTCGAGTCCCGGCCCAGTAAACTCCGGCTTCCGATATACTTTTCTCTCCGACTCTTACATAAGGGTTAGGATCAAGTAATTATGTTATCCACGTAGAATATCTAATTCTTCAGGCGTGACATGCATCCTTAATTCTTTCTCGCGTATCACATCTTGAATCTGTGTAAGAAGTTGAGGCGCTACTTCAGCTGCATCTATGTAAATGCTCCTCGCCCACGGGCATTGCATGACACTTTCGTGATAAATCTCTTCTCCCTTCTTCTCGCACAAATTATGTTCCCTTAGAAGTAGCATGTACAGTCTCCATAGTAATGGACAGCATCTGGTCGATGGTATCCTGAAAACAATTCTGTTAGTATCAAGTAACACACATACTTAAATGTAAAAAGAAAATTCAAACGCCCTATATTTTTGCGAATTATAAATCTGAGATGCAAAGATTTATGTCATACTTGGAGAGCGTTAGATGAAAGGATAATAGCTTATTTAGAGCAGCTATCACTGCATCAGGATGATCGAATTTCATCAAGAGACCAATACGTCTACGAGCAGCTAAACACATCGTTACCGCTCTCCATAATCCAATTTCAGTGCCTCTACTGTTGAATCTCCATGTTGGCAATTCACTCTGTAATCATAATTGTTTTATAATTTGATTAGTTAGCATAATAAAATTACTTAGCTCCGCCTTGGGCACGACAATTTTATCAATAACATTCGTTCTCGTTAATTACATAACATTAATGAATTAGTGTTTTTACCTCTATGATAGCAAATACCGACAAGGCGTAAAAGTTGTCTGGGTATGTACTCAAAGATCTGCTCAATGTTTCTTTCAACGTATTCTGTAAGCTATGTTTCCGTTCGTAATGCAATTGCAGAATTGCAATTTGACTTTCATATAGCATTTCCTGCAATCATTTCCAGACAACTTAAGAATTAACCATTTTAATTTGCTCGAAAATGAATATAATATATGTTAATAAAGTTAAATTGATACCTGCAAATAAGGACAATCTTTGGAATGATCAATACAGTTTCTCAATATTTCGATAACCGTTTGGATATCGTCGTTTTTGACGTACAGAAAATACGCGTAGCACACGATCACATCGCACTCCAGGTCTGACAAGAAGAAAGTGTCCTTTCCGTTCTCACTGGGCGCGGTTTGTAGGAAGTCACGTACTTGTCCATGTAAGTACGCTTCGACCAGTGAGTTTTGATCCGCGCTTTCGCCGGGTATCATCTGACTGAAGACTTTTAGTATCCATTGCCTGTGCGACTCGTCGTACGTTCTGGCATCGAGCAAGGTCTCAATAAATGTTCTATACACGCTAAAAAGCGCTGCCCTTTCGTTCTCGTTGGTGATCGCAGAAGGACATGCTCCTTGAGACTGAATGGCAGTCTCAAGTATGTTGACGCAGTTACTGAATCTACCCATTTCCAGTTCTATCAAGGCGTACTCCTTGTAAAAATATAAGTTATTTCTGTTCTCGTCCTTCTTTAGAAATTCCTTCAACGTTGTCCTTAGTTTCTTCCCTCTGGAAAGATGAGGCACATGTGATTCATTATTTTCTTAACTAGATTTGTTGGATTTCATCTTGATTAATAGGCATTTGCTATAAATCTTACTTGTTGTCGTGTTTCAAAGGTTCGTCCTTGCCGAGAGAGACGAGTAATCTTTCCAGTCGCAACCACCAGACGTATATACTCGTGCGTTGCAACGAGGGTAAACTTTCCGCGATTGCATGAAAGATTTTACGCACAAAGTCTAAGTATGGTTCTTGCGCCGGGTGGAACTTGACGTATTGAGGGCCCGACGTTAAACGCCCCTCGAGAATATCCTTCAATAACTCCTTCCTCTGATCATGGCCGGCCATTTCGCCCACCATGGGATACATGAAGGGAAGCAGTGCCTCCAAGGACTCCACTTCCCAGTGAAAATCTTTTAGCGATAATTCCTGTAAAGAAATTATCACTAACATCACTAATAACCATAGAAACCATAGAAATCATAGTTTCTACCGGTTTTGCTAGGCCGGGACTCGAACCCGGGTCTTTCGCTTGCCGGGCGACTGCTCTAAACCACTGAGCTACCTGACGCTCCACCCTCACGACACCTTCCTCCCCCTGGATAACGCTCAGGGTGGAGTCCCATGGCATGTATTTTCCGCGTATCGCGTAACCAATAAATTGCGACATATAGTATTTCTGTTGGAACTTCTAAAAGAAGAGAAAGATGTGATTGGTTACGCGGTTACGCGAAAATACGTGCCATGGGATTCCGCCCTCCACCCTCAGAGATGTCGTTCAGAAGCGACATCTCTGGTGTGATCCCGAATGCATGGAGACTACAGAGAGAAACAATGTTACTGTACCAAATGGTCAGCTGTCAGTCTCTCAAAGTCAAAGGCTATCCTTTAAGACCTGCTGTTTATGTATGCCCGTCTCCACCGTTGCCCCTCCTCATCCGGTGCAAATAATACAAATAAGTCCCGGAGTCGACAATTTTTTGGCAGCCCCCGGGTGCTTGGACGCAATATGCCATGGGGGATCCACCCCATAGAAGGAGGAGGGCGTACTAGGTGGCGGCGGGACGCCGTGCGTTCGAGATCTGCGTATCTTTTTCGTTCCACAGAGAGAAAAATATCGAGAGCACGGTTTTGCTAGGTCGGGACTCGAAACCCGGGTCTTTCGCTTGTCAGGCGACTGCTCTAAACCACTGAGCTACCTGACGCTCCACGCTCACGACACCCTCCTCTCCCTAGATAACATTCAGAGATGTCGTTCGGAAGCGAAATAAGTTCTTCGTAATCTCTACTTTTCTATAATCTCTTATAGCATGTTCGACTGGCTCTAGGTTATTCAGCCTACGTTTATTAGTCGAACAAATACTTATAAACTTTATGATTGGCTAATAGAGACTTATAACGTCATTAATCGCTCTCGAATCGATTAACCCAGGGCCAGTCGAACACGCTATTAATCTCTTCAATTTCTTTTTAATAATCTTTGTAATGTTATACTTCAGTTATCTATGAGTATATTAAGTTTGTGTTTGTCAAATAAAATAAAAAACGAAATTATCCAATTATGAAGGATTAATCATTTTACAAATAAATGAACATTGACACGGTATTTTTTAGCTATCTAACGAAGACTTTGTATTCCTAATCTGATTCCCAAATTTAATTTAATTAAGCTTATTTTAATTTAATTTACCTTTAAGTAATAGTCTCGACAAGGTAGAAGTGGTACTTTCAGGCACAAAAGAGAATAAATGGCTATTTGGAAATTCGAATTACGCGAGAGAATCGGATGTACAAAGTCCGCTACGTCTTCCGGTAAAACGAATCTCCGTGAATCTCCAACCAACTCCAACTCGTCTCTATTAACGCTGATCCAATGATAATTCTCTCTCAACGATTCTGTCCTCTGCCACAGTTGATTAAGTGGTAATCGTGACATCAATATCATTTCTTCCATTCCGACTAGAAATAAACGTTATTATTAAAATCAATGTTAATAGGATATTGTTATTACATTACGCGAGAATTCCATTAAGTTATCCTTATAAATGGAATATCTTATATATTATAGTGAATGTAAAAAGTATTCGTATACTTTGTCTTGACAAAGGCTTGGTGTACGAATACTTTTTACATTCACTGTATTTATTTCCACTAAGTATGATATTTTGCATTATAATTGATAGTTGATTGTTTCGACATTTTTTTCTACAACATTATCTTACAATGATTTGTTATAAATAACTTTTAACGATTGTTTTCCTTGTGATGTAGGAAAAATCTTAATAGAAGTATCAAACCTGTAATATATTACATACTTAATTTCTTTTCATCTATAGATCCTTGAAAGAACAAACTATTCTTGTCTAAGTTCAGATTCAAGTTCAGATTTAAACGTATTGTTTCCCACATCTGTTCCCACAATCCCGTATGCCTCAGGAATGTTAAGCATTGATGTAGCATTTCTAGATGAAGTACAGAGGAATTATTTTGTATGAAACAAATATATGACAAAAATAAAGTACATAAAATAGAATAAACTCTACTCACGCAGTAGTTGTGCATCATAAAGAGAAGGATTTGTTCTTGAGCGTTGTCTTAAGACGCTGAAGCATCTTGAATACAAATCCAAGACTCGTGGTACAGTACACATTGCTACTGAGCCTTGTGTGATCATAATAAAATGCTGCCATAACACAATGTTCCCTGAATCCTTATTGACTAATGTTTCCAATTGATTGGAGAGTTCATCAGATGGTGTCAACTCACTCATGAACCGTAACTTCAGTTTTAATAATTCATTAGAGTTCCCATTCTTTTCAAGTGCCTTTTCAACAATAGATAACTTTTTCAACACTGTGGATCTATATGTATCTTTTGGTAATTGGTGTCTTTGATAGCTAGCTAGAGTATCCTGTAAAGTTAATATTGAAATATCACAGATTTAGTTTTGCATAGGATACTATATGTTAAAATATTATAATGTTATAAACAAAATGTAACAAAGAACAATTTTAGTACCTGGAAATCAATATAATGTATCCAACATTCAACATTATATGGGTTTTCTGTCAATTGCTCATTATATTCTTTAATCTTAGACTTTTGTTCCTCTTCCAAATTTGTACACCAAGAAGGCAAGCTTTCATCTGCCTCTGTATCTTGCTTTGAACTTTCTTTGACATTTGTCTTTTTAATAATTGTATCTTTCTTCTTTAGCACCTCAACAGAATCAATATTTTTGATGTAATATCTAAAGAATTTGCCTTTCTTCGGTTGCTTATGTTTAACAAAGCACATATATTTTTTACTAATATCATACAATGGTCTGACTTTAGAGCAAAATGTATCTATATTATTATTCCCTTTATCTCTGTGCTTGTCTTCAAAAAATATATCTTCAACATTTTGTTCATATTCTGGTTTACGTTCTTTGCCATCATGTTTACGTTTCTTTCTGCCTGTCTTTTGAATCCTGTCAGTTTTCAATTCTTTGCTTTTTAATTGTTCTTTTACATCTGAAGGAGTTGTTTCATATTGTACTTGCTCTTTTGCATCATGTAAAGATTCATCAGAAGAATATATAGACAATTCAGTTTCTTGTTTAGGTACTATTATAGGTGTTTGAAAGCTCAAATTTGATAGCCATTCGACAGAAGCATTATCTGAAAAAAATAAAAGAAATGAGAAGAAACGATCATCATAGCATATTTATATTTATATAAATAATAGGAAAATTTAAAGGAGTGTTTACCTCTAATTTTTACACAATTTTATTTAAGCATTAATAAAACTAAAATAATTACCAGACTTTGCAGAACTTGTCGATTCTGGCGTATCATTCGAATAAGCTGGGAAAAGAGACATGATTTATTTGCATAATATTGTATAGCTTTATAAATAAATATATAAATAAAGACTTCTTTCTATCAAGACTTCAGATTTCAATGATTGGCTGGATTCTTTCTATCAAGGGTCCGCAAAAGCCAAGAGGTCTGTTCCTTTTAGCCGAACTATCTGAATTGATACTAGTTGATCTGTTCTTTTCAGCTGCACTGTTGAACTGGTGCAATAAGTTAGAAAAAGTATATTTATCTCATTTTAACTTATTGCACTAGTTCAGCAGTGCAGCTGAAAAGAACAGATCAGAGTGCGATACATAAGCGTACGGAAATACGGAAATGCGGAAATACGGAAGACAAAGTTTCTAGGACTTAACTAGATTTACATTTCCGCGCTTTTGTTCCGTAGCTTTATTTCTCCTAAATATTACATGGAGCATTTTTTATACGGAAAAGCAGAACGAGGGATTATAAAACATTAATTGTAAACGATATTTATTGATTAAAATGTTTTTATTAAACGGATAAGTTGAAAAAACTCACCGTAGGTTATTCAGCCTGCGTTTATTGGTCGAACAAGTACTTATGAGCGATTAACCCAGGGCCAGTCGAACACGCTATTAGTTATTAGTTACTTTTTTGCATTTCCGTACGCTCATGTAATCGCACCTCAAGTGTTTGCCGGCGGAAAGAAAATTTTAGTACTAGAAAAATGTACTAGATTTTGTCAAAATGTACCAAACGTTTGGGTTCTGTTCCGTTTCACGTTCCGTATCACATTTATCTGTAATATCATAACGGGTGTTTTCCAGTTGCGTACACTGTGTACAAAACCAGTTTATTGGTTGCATATTATCTTACAAGATATTTTAGATAATATGTGACCAATAAACTGGTTTTGTGTACGTGTGTCAAGATGTGTTAAGCAATTGGAAAACATCCTGTTCTGCTTATGGAGGATTCATATTGCGTCTAATATTGACGTACGATATCAAATAGCAGAGTTTCTAGCTAGTGACATTTTTGTCTCTTTTTTTTCGGACCATGTCATGTGTGCCAATCACGTGGAGACCCCCAATGGCCAGTCTCTGTTTAATCTTCTCTAGTCAAATCGAGCGCGTAGTATGACTCAACAATAGGGCAGGCGAACCTTATTTTTAAGATTATACAATTCAGCGACATGACAGACGAACTGTTTATGATTCATTGGCACGATTAGACATCAGATAGAAAGCGTTTTTATCTGTACATTTACTGATAAAATTTTTTTGTTTGACTCGAGGTTAATATTCTTATTATCAGTCAAGTGAAGATGATAGTAGACAAAAATACAAAAAACGTAGTAACAGTACAAAGTAATTAGATTATATAATTATTTTTTCTTGTGGGAGAACAAAACGACATGTAATATATAATTGTGTGGACAACAAGAAGTTATTTTTTTGTCTCTTCGTTTTTTCTTGTTTTATTAGTCATTTTATACAAATGTTTCGAAAGTGCAACTTTATCAGGCAGCTTTGTGGTGCTGTGAATGTGTCCACGGAAACTGCTGCGATAGCAGAAGCCTCAACTCGAGTAAGCGTTACCTTATTTGTATCATAACGTATTCTATTTTTTAATTTTAATGTTTGTGCATAATTATGGTTCATAATTTTTAACAAATTGTTAATTCGCGTAACTGTCACAGTTCCAGAAGTTCAAAGCAAGATTAGAGAAGGATAAACAGGATGGGATACTCACCGATACATTTAAACGCAAACACACATATCTCAGGATATCAGTCACTGAGCGTTGCAACCTCCGCTGTAAGATCATCTTCAAAATTATATACTTCCAGCATTATATGAGTCTTTTAATATTACCATAATTTCAGGCACATATTGCATGCCAGCAGAAGGTGTCAAGCTAACCAAGAAAGATGGTATCTTACAAACAGATGAAATAATACAGATAGCTGATTTGTTTGTCAAGGAAGGAGTGCGCAAGATACGTTTGACTGGAGGGGAGCCTACGGTTCGCAAGGATATTGTTGACATTGTTGGTAAAATCTTTTGCCAGTATGCCTATTCATCTGCGGTATTAACTTAATATTAATAATACAGAATATAATGTGGGTTTCCAAAGTATCTTTATTCACAATTTTATTCTTCAGCACAACTTAAGCAGTTGAGCAACTTGGAGCAGGTTGCAATCACTACAAATGGGCTGACCTTGACTCGCCAGTTGCCAGCTCTTCAAAGAGCAGGATTAGATGCACTGAATATATCCTTGGATACCCTCAAGGAGAAGCGCTTTGAAATATTCACACGCAGGCAGGGTTGGGCAAGAGTCATGGCTGCAATAGATCTTGCTGTCCAGATTGGCTACAATCCTGTAAAGGTAAACAAAAAAGAGAGGGACTTATAACTGGACCATACAAAATTTAAAAAAGTTTATTATATTTATTTCATACATTATATTGTTACGGATATATAGGTGTGTTGAATATGTCAGGTTAGAAATATGGCAAAAAATTTGCCATTCTTTTATTCTAGTTTGTTTCAAGGTTTCAATATTACAAGAAAAGTAGAAAGTCCTTGTTAGATGTCTAAAAAATGCCAAATTGATGTTCTTTGGCATTCTTATTTGGTTTCTTATTTGCAAAATTATTAATTCTTTGAGATTGAATAATTTTATTCTCTATTTTATTTAACAAACAGGACAAATCTTCTCAACCTAATACACTTGTAATTTACGTCAATCTAACATATTTTAATTAGGTCAATTGTGTCATAATGCGAGGGCGAAACGACGACGAAATCACTGATTTCATCGACTTCACGAGAGATCGCCCTATCGACGTGCGTTTCATAGAATATATGCCGTTCCAAGGGAACGAATGGAAGGAAAATAAGATGGTGTCGTTCGACGAAATGAAAAAGATAATACGAGAGAAATATCCCGATTTCCGAGCTCTGCCGAATCAGCCCAACGACACGTCTAAGGTTTGACTTTTATTAATATTCTAATTCGGTCTCTTATTGTACACTATTTTGTTCTCTCGACAGGCTTATCAAGTGCCGGGATTCGTAGGACAGGTTGGATTTATCACATCTATGAGCCAACACTTCTGTAGCTCGTGCAACCGCTTGAGAATCACGGCAGATGGAAATTTGAAGGTGTGTTTGTTCGAAGGGAAAGGCGAGGTCTCGCTGAGAGACGCTTTGCGAAACGGTGCATCGGAAGATACACTCAAGGAACTGATAAGAGGAGCGGTGTTGCGGAAGAAGAAACAACACGCAGGTATACATCGATTCGATTTGACCGATCGTAGCATTTGGCGTAACAAAGTTTCATCGAGAGCATTTTTGACACGTTGATTGCCACGTTGATCATCAGAGACCGACGTTGTAATATTACTGCACTTCACTAATTTATGTATAAAGCTTTTAACCAACTACGTGTAACATATTTAATATACAGCCGACAGAGACAAATGAAAACGAGTTACCTTGCGAATTGCATTTATTTTTCGCATCTTTGGTGATTCAAACTTAAATTGAGCATTGAAATAATTGGCTTTATATGGTTGGAATAAATTCACTTGAGTATTTAAAAAATGAGCGAAGCATTGAAACAACAGAAATCAGAGTGACAATCAACATGTTAAACTGTCTGCAAATCCTCTGTCGTTTCCTCCATCCATTTTGCTTTCGGTCCTGTTTCATATTTTTCTTCATCTCTGTTAATTTTACATGAACTGCTGCAGTGTCGACAAACCGATAAACCGAGACGTTTGCATTTCAGGAATGTTCAATCTAACTCAAATGGAAAACAGGCCGATGATTTTGATCGGGGGTTAAATTGGTGTTGTTGCGATAATTAGTCGGCCGTGTCAAAGTATTCGGCTTTGTCGAGACGCGCACAGATGTGTCGTAAATCTCGGGAGTTTTGTGTTTATAATTCGCAACGTAAACAAAAAACAAAATGAAAAAGAGAGAAAAGAAAAACAGCCGCGCGAAATTGACGTCAATTATTAAAGTTAATTAACGTAATGTTTGCATTGCAGCTAATCGTAGGATGAAATTATCGCGGAAAGCGCACAATATCGCGCCGATACACGTGGACGCGCGGCACACGTGTCTGCCGCACACGTTCGCGAAGTTCAGGAGTAACGCGAGCGTTAGAATGTATTCGTCCTTCTCGCACGTGGACGAGAGCGGTAAAGCTAATATGGTGGATGTCGGAGAGAAGAGCGACAGCAAGCGGAAAGCGATAGCGGCGGGATACGTGAAGATAGATCCCGCGCTCACTCGTCTCATCGCGCAGAACAGCTTGAAGAAGGGCGACGTGCTGTCGGTGGCTGAGCTGGCCGGTACTATGGCCGCTAAACGGACTTCCGAGCTTATACCGCTCTGTCATCCGCTCGCTTTGACTTACATCAAGGTGACAGCGAAATTGGATGAGCGTTCGCACCGGGTGGAGATCGTGTCGGAGGTGAGGTGTTGTGGTAAAACAGGCGTCGAGATGGAAGCTTTAACCGCCGTGAGTGTTGCGGCGCTTACGATTTATGACATGTGCAAGAACGCAGCCGCCCCTGGCACGATGGAAATTCACGGTATCGAATTGGTATCGAAAACGGGCGGCACGAAGGGCGATTTCAAAGTAGATAAAGCGTAAATTCGGTATTTCTGTGTTTCTCGCTGATAACAAGATGTAAATTCCGATCATATCTTTCTATGATAGTTCTACAGGCAATGCGGGAAGCGATATGATTTAGTACAAAAGAGGTCAAAAAAGAGATTTTGCACTGAGAAAAAATACTTGAAGATTTATTTGTGGGATATGAAGTTTATTTCTGAGAATAAACTTTATATTGCACGAATTTGCAAGTATTTTTTCCCTCAATGTAGGAAAAAGTCTAATACACTGAGAAAAAATAATTAAAAATTGATTTGTGGGATATGAACTTTATTTCTGTGAATAAACTTTATATCGCACGAATTTTTAAGTATTTTTTCCCCTCAGTGTAGGAGAAAGTCTAATACATTGAGAAAAAATAATTAAAAATTGATTTGTGGGATATAAAGTTTTTTTCTGTGAATAACTTATGTATTATTTCACAAATTTTCAATATTTGTATTTTTTCTCAGTGTAGATTTCTTATTTCGTTCATTTAGTTTTCGTAATATTATGTTTATACAGTCTATTTTGACATGCGTAGAAACAGTACTTTTATATACGCATATATATTCTATGTAAGATTTTATATACATATGTTATATATATTTTTATTTATATACATATGTTATATATATATTTTTGTCACAAATGGTGTTGGGTGATACAATTACGTTATAATTGTTATATATCTATTGTAACATAATTGTTATATATCTATTGTAACATGTACTTTTTTTCTTAATTCTTTTAGGCCTTTATTCTGAACTCTCTTTTATCGCTAAAAGCGCCTCGCTAAAAGTGCCTCTGAACGATAAGTCAATCAGATGGTAGAAGATTTGTAAGTCATATTTAGAAGCACTTTTATTGATAAAAAAACTCAGAATAATTCTTCCCCTGGCATTACAGGCGAAGAATTTCGCAAGTTCTGCATAATAACTAATCTGTATTTAAAATGAATGCGTATTAGACGTGTTACACAGTATTTTTGTATCTATTTTTATTTTCTTACGTGTGTACCTGGTCAGTGCAAAGACGGAAGGAGTGTTATTCGATCACATTTAAGGAAAACTTGTCAATTCCAATATTACAATTCTTCGCAGTTTGAATAAGATACAATAAGTAGACATAAGTTTACCAAAAAGGGTCTAGATAGAGAAAAAAATATGGTATAAAAATAATTATAGTGGACATGCGTTGTAAATTATCGGCCGAAATGCTTCCAAGCGTGTCAGTGATCGATTTGACATTTTGTAAGTGGAAACAAATGTATTTAAGTAAGCTTGAACATGAACAAATGCGATTAAATTAGGAGCAAAATTATTCAGACAATTGTATCATTACGTAGGAAAATGCGACAAATTTCTATTGTTAACATGCGTCTTGTCATGTGAGCTTCGACAAGCAGCGGAGGACGCGAGAACACTTTGAAAAAACCCCATATAATATGGTAATGTAGCTGAATTGTCCAATCTACGTCTCAATAATTAGCAGCTCGATACCATCGCGGGTATTAACAAGCGCAGGGCCGCGTAACGCGTCCGTCGCGAGTGGAAAAGCGCACGGTACGACCCTAGTAATCGGATCTTGCCCAAACTTTCTCTCTATAGCGTACACTGTAAGTTACGGACGATCTACGTCGTACTTGTTAAAGCGTTGTTGTGTTTGGAGAGACTTTATCGCAATATATATATACATACATACATACATATATCGTTTAATATGCATAAAGGAAGCTCCTTATCTCCGCGTGCCCGCGCCCTCCCCTATTTCCTTATTTATACACGGCGGAAAATTGTCCCGGAAAATAGGCGAGTTTGCCCGTAAACCACTTTATGCGCGCGGACACTTTGGCGCGAATAGAAGAGGCACGAAACTCGCTCGCTCGTTCGCTCACCCTCCGTGTCTCTCTTTCTCTCCCGGCCCACTCGACGGCGCCGGGAGAAGTGAAGTGGAGGCGAAACGGGAGGCATGTGTGTGTGTGTGTGTGTGTGTGTGTGTGTGTGTGTGTGTGTGTGTGTGCCGATTGCATCGGTAAATCGCGATAACATACGGCTCTTGCGAGACTCCCCGGCTCGTCGGGATAAACATGTCTCGTCGGTTAAGGGAAATCATATCTGATGCCGACCTTTCGGCGCAATCGCACGTACCCACCGTGGAATGGGCACGGCGCCACCGGTGCCAGGATTTCAGAGCTTTTTCGTGTCCTCCGCGAGGAGCAAAATTCAGTGCTTGGCCCGCAACCGTGTCCGCACCGTCCCGCAGCGAACTTTGACCCGCGGCAGGATCGGCGGAATCGCGCGAGGGATTCGAAGTGTCGTCAATTGCAATCGCGTTGTCCATCAATCGTCCCGCCGCGGAGAAATTGCACGCACCTACGCGATCTTGGGGGGAAAAGGAGAAAGAAAAAAGTGCGGGAAGGAACGATTAATTATGCCCGGGACGTTTTCCGTGGCGCCGTGAGGGCACTTTCGCGGTAAACGCTTATTATTTTCCTCGCTTTTTCTCTCTCTCTCTCTCTCTCTCTCTCTCTCTCTCTCTCGAGTTCTTTTCTTCTCCTTTTGCTTTTTTTCCTCGCGAAGGGTGAGAACCAGAATGAGAGGAGAGGAGAGATGTGTGTTTGTCCGTTATGCCGGCGAGTGCCGGCGTAATCCCGCGGGTACTTTTCGAAGGGCCAACGATGGCGAGTGAGCGTTTGCATCGGACGATGGGCAGACGGCAACTCTCGGACACGGAGCGGCGCGCATGAATCGGATTGAGAGATGAGTGCGTGAAAAATGGCACCGTTCCACGGCATGACCCTCCTGCTCTTGGGAATCGGATACCTGTTACACGCGGAACCGTTTCACGGCGTACGCGGCACCGGTAAATGTCCCGCACTCTTGCACCCGCGACACTTATTTTTTTTTAACGGCGCGGCTCGCCGCCGGGCCGCTACGGGAAGCGAATAATTTCGGTCACGCGAATACATGGAAAAAAATAATTTGCGTAACTAATTTTACAAATTATTCGCTATCAGAGCAGAAGTAGTTTCGTTGCCAGGATAGAAAAAATTTGTTGAGTGTATTTGTCCTAAAAATCACGTTAATTTGCTATTGATGTAAAATAATGTATCCTTAGCAAATTTATTTGCTATCGGAGCAAAACTGCAACTACTTATACAAATCCATCATAGTTCTTATAGCAAAATAACTTGTAGATTCAGCAAATTATATCCAGCAAATAGTGATTAGTACTCTTAGCAAATCTTTTTGCTATCCATATAATAACGAAAAGATTTTGCTAGACCAGCAGAAAATTTGCTGGGCCAGCAAATTATCTTTCTTCGTGTGTTTGTGAATTGTTGCGCCCAGTAGCTACGTAGGTCTCCTTATTTTTCTTCAGAATAAAATAAAATGGAGGTAATGGTGATACACGGAGTAAGAAAACAAGATGACACACAGAAAAATATTGTTTTACTCACGGAAAAAAGGATTTGCTGCAGCAGCAAACTAATTTGCTACATATAGACAGTTAAACATAATTCGTTGTGTTAGCTACTTTTTCTTTGCTGCAGGAACCTATTTCCTTGCTATAATAAAAAAATTTGTTTCTACAGTAAGAAAAGCTAACATAGCAATTTGTTACAGATGGACAACTAAACATAATTTACTGCTTTAGCTACTTTTTTTGTTGCAGGAGATTTTCTTGTTATCCTAGCAAGGAAATGGGCTCCTGCAGCAAAGAAAAATACAAGAAATTATGTTTAGTTGTCCCCATGTAACACATTTTTTTTCTGTGCTATTAAAAAAAGCGATTACTCAATTCATCATTCCTTCTTTCAAGCAATAGTTATCTTCAATAAAGAATATTTTAATATAGTTCGAAAATATGTTCATCACGAATTCGAGAGAAACATTATCGTATACTCGAGAAAAGAATTTATTTTCTTTACAAGAATATCATAAAGCTTCCTTGAAGAAGTCCTTCTAGAAGCTCTTCTAGACTCTTATGTAGTAAGAAAACTGAATTTTTCTTTTAATTTAATATCCTTTGAGATGTTAAACCACCACTATGATTTACTTTTCCGCTTTTAAGTAATAGTTATCTTCGGGAAAGAGATAATTTTCTTGATGACAGTCTTGAATTATATTCATCATAAATTTTAATAAAGCTCATTATTATATGCTGAAAAGAGAAGAGAGAGAATTTATCTTCTTTACAAGAATATTATAAAATTTTACTCAAGAAAAAGCTGGCTCGACTCTATGCAGTAAAAGAAAACCGAATTTTTGTTTTTATTTAATATTCTTTGAAATGTTAAACATTATTAGAACTCAAAATTTATTTTGAATCAATTTGATGCTTGTGATGAATTTGTGGTTGATTTGCGGATATATAAACTTATTAAATGTTAAAAAAAAAGTAATATTTATTTGAAAATAATATATATTTTTGTGTTTTACACACAAAATTATTTTGTGTTCTATTGTAAAGAAAAATAATTACTTAATTTACTTTTCTTCTTTGAAGAAATGGTTTTCTTTAATAAAAAATATTTTTTGATGACAATTTTAAAATGTACTCATCACAAATTTGAGAAGAGTTCATTGTCATGTTCTCAAAAAAAGAATTCATTCTCTTCACTAGAAAATTTAATTTAAGAGAAAGCTGGTTTAACTTTATATTGTAAGAAAATCGAATTTTGGTTTCAATTTAATATTCTTGATTGAAAAGTTAAACTTATTAGCATATTCAGAATATATTTCGAATAAATTTGATGCTTGGGATGAGCTCATGTATTAATAGATGTTGTAATAGATGTTCGGATAGATAAATTCATGAAATACTTGGAAAAAGTAAGATCTACTTGTGTGTGTGTGAATGCAGTATGTATTTTTCTGTGTGTAACAAAAAGGTGATAATCGAGAGACCAGCGTTTTCACGGAGAAGCTGATCTATCTCGTGAGAGAACGGGAAGAAAATCTATATTTAAAATTCAATAAACGGTCCTTTTTGTAGAGCAATTTTCACAAATTGGTGTCGAATAATTCGTTGTCCGGTTTTCGCTTTTGGCGTAATTTCGCTTTTGGTAATTCGATCTTGTAGAATTAACGTTTCTCTCTCATTTTTCCGATTGTATTCGATATCAAGCGGCATTTGGGAAATGACTGATAACGCACTAATAATTTCGGCTGTAATTTTGACGTGGACAGAGATCGGGAATTAATTAACCGGGATTAGAGCGTTAATTGATATAAAATCGCCTATTATATTCTCTCACTCCCGGCGGCTTGTATATCTTCCGGTATTAGACGCGAGATTAAATAACACAACGATTAAAGAATACACGCTCGTTAGCACCGGAAATAGCGCGCGGAAAGTGGAAAGCGGAATTAATAATTCTCTTATATGAGATGGAAACTGCACAAAGAGCAGTTCTTAAATTAAAAGAACGAAGATTACAGTCTAATTTTGACTTGCGCGTCTTAGCAATTCTTATTTTCGCTCACGTCATTTTCACAGTTTAACGTTATGGAAATATCACAATTATTGTGGGAGGAGGAAGAGAGAGAAAGAACGAGGGAATTTGCAACAATGGAAGTTGCGTATTATTAATTTTCCGATGTATTTTTGCACTCCTACGCTTCTCAAAAATATTCCTGGCATTCCTATTTCCATGCGAACAAGTGATGCGAAAGCACATTATTAAAATATGCTCTTCCATCGAAATAATATATATTTCTTTAGGAGAGAGAAAGTGTCTCTCTCTCTCTTTCTCTCTCTCTCTCTCTCTCTCTCTCTCTCTCTCTCTCTCTCCGAAATAAATGCGAACGCATTAACGTGCGAATTGGGGAACGTACACGCCATATTTTAAGCAATGTTATTAATTTGTCTCTCCGCGTGCTAAATAATTATCTTCTAAATAAAATGCTTCCTAAATAATTATCGTCTACGTGTAAAGCCTGCGTACAACATACAATTTAATACATGTATTCTGTAGCGAGGGGGAAAATGCGACGAGGAATTTTATTAGGAACGCGAAATTCCGCATTATTCTCGGACCTGACGAGCAATTCCTCGTCGACGAGAGCACTTTCGGGAATAATAATATAATATCAGGTCAAGTCATGAACGCGATCGTACGGTTTGAGAAACCGCCTTGTCGCCGTATGATTTTTCGGACAATATTCGCCGACCTTATCGGGCCGGCTTTATCGATTCCTCCCGCGGCGAGATTTTCACGGGGGGGAAATAAATACTTGCCACCTGCGCCGCGCTCGCGCGCAGAAGTTACGCGTGTATTTATGACTCGATCCGGCCGGCACCTCTCTCAACACGATTTATCTCCATTTCAGCGTTCTTGCATCTCAACGACGACGCGTTCGGCAAGGGAGAGAAGTCGCAGCGCGGCACAAAGAAGACATATTTTTTCAAGGATACGCCGCAAAAGTTGACGGTGGCCATAGGTCAGGCCGCTATGCTGTTGTGTCGCGTCAAGAACTTAGGAAACAGAACTGTGAGTCTTTCCTGCACGAATTTTGCTGATCTCATCGATCGCGCCGGTAACCTGAGACGCGCCCGAGACGCATCAGATGTTTTGCGTAACGCGCGTTAACCCTTTCGCCGCTCATCAGACGCAAGCACGCAGCGACTTTTTATCGGTGGATTCCACGCTAACAAGCATTTCTGCGCGGAATTTGTAACATCTGCAAAATCTCCGAGAAGTTTACGTCAGGAAATTATTTTATTCCAATTAATTTATTCTCGTTCGTATAATTTATCTCGAGAAATTCCTTCAGTGATCTCTGAATTCTCCTGAAAAACTTTGGAAAAATTTCTGAAAGGAGAATATATTCTTTGGGAGATTTGCGTTCTCTTGTACGTAATTTGCGTAATCTGCGAAATTATTTATTTCAGTTATTTATCTGTGCTGTAATAACTTATTTCAAGAAATTCTTTCACATTGAGGGAAAAAATATCTAGAAAATAGAAAATTCTAATAATTTATTTTACATCGCGCGCGAGAGAAAAAATATTTAGAAAAAAAAAATATTTATTCGGTAGATGCTAGTAACATATATACTTTTACATTAAAAGAATATCTTTTTCAAATAAGAAAATATACATTTTTCCTAAAATTGTTACTTTTCATAAAATTGTTACTTTTTATAAATTGTTTCTTCCATTCAAATGAAGAAATGTACATTGAAGTAAATATGTTATTAGTACTCATCGAATATCTTTTTATTTTTCAGTTATTTTTCTCTCAGTGAGATTTATGATCTTTTCTGAAAAGCCTTTGGAAAATTTCCGAATAGGAATCTCCGAGAGATTCGTTCTCAAACTTTTGAGCGATTTTTAACTTGAGAGATTTGTAACTCGTAAAATATTTAATCTGTCGCAATCCAACGAAGAGAGATCGCTACGTTGCGATAAATTCGTATAATCTTGGCGAAGAAGAGTCGGTTCCCGGTTCACGGCCGTTTGGACTTGCTCCGTCCCGACGTCTTCGCGACTCTCGGGCGAGTTTCGCGAATTTCGCCTCTGGGTTGACTGATATTGCTTATCTTCAAATTCCCGGCGAGATCTTTGGAAGACTACTCGTTATAAACGCGAAACATGTTGAGAAACGAGCGGGCGGGCAGGCTGAAAGGGCCACTGCGGCGGCGAAAGGGTTAAAGGCGGGATTGCAGTTACTTGTACCTCATTCGGGACTCCCGTACGTATAACCCCAGGTGTCTTGGATCCGAAAAAGGGACCTACACATCTTAACGTCCAAGTCGGTGACTTACACGAGCGACGCGAGATTTACGGTAGTCGGCAATCCGGAGACCGACGACTGGAATCTGCGAATAGATTACGTGCAACCGCGGGATGCCGGCATTTACGAGTGTCAGGTTAATACAGAGCCGAAGATATATAGAGCCGTGGCACTGAAGGTTTTGGGTGAGTTTCCGCGAGGTAGCCTCTGCCCATAAATCGCGCCTTAAAGACCCCGCACGGGCGTCTTTCGTGGTTGCAAAACCGATCGCTTTAACTCCCGCCTTCCGGCGATCACGCGTTTGTCTCGCGCGAGCACGTTTGTCCGCCGATCCGTTTCGCGAAGTAGAAACAGAGAGAGAGAGAGAGAGAG